TTTACGGCTAAATTAGGCCTAGTTTAGGTTTTAGGCTTGTTTTATTCCTACTTATTCCGTTATGAGGCTTATCATAACATAAGATTTTAGGCTTAAAATTGACATAACTAATGTTTTAGACAAAACTTGCTATGTTTTATGAAACAAAACTTGGGAAACCTGGGCGCAGCTATTTTCTCATGCAGCTCACAAAAACTGTTTATAATTGAAAGTCAATAGGGTAATTAGAAAAAACTTTCGGACCGACCACATGTTTTGGCCGTGGGCGTTGTGAGAAATCTCAATGTGATTTTTCAAATAACAGCTTCTTTGAACTTTTTTTCTTGACCAGAAGTGGTTTTTTAGTTCTTGGCGTAGCTTATTTTAGGCTTATTTTGGTTATTTTAACATTTGGATGATTTTGTAACTTAGGCTTATTTTGACTTGAATTAGGGCAGATTTTCATACATTTTGGGCTTATTTTGATCTATATTAGGCTTATATTTGATTTTTTAAATTTTTAAAATAAAAAATTTTTAAATTAAAAAAGAATTATATTTAGGTAATACAACAACGTTGTAAACCCAATATTGTTGTAAACCCCTACTTTCTTGACGTTTTACTTTTATTGCTGATAAACCTTTTTATTGTCAACAAACTCGTTTCCATCTTGGAGCAACGTTAGTTGGTGTCTTGATGGGGGCTGTGGTGGAATGTGATTAATTAAAGGAACAAACCTGACGTTATATTACTATTTCCAGCCGCGTTTACTACGGGTTTCTATTGTAACTTTAAGGGTTTGGGACTTTTTTTAATTTTAAAAGTTTTTGGAAAAATTTTTAGGTAAGACTAGGGCTAGGTGTAGGCTTAAAATATAGGGATAGGCTTGCAATATATAATAGAACTAAGGCTAGGACGAAGGCTAGGGTTAGGGAAAAAGTTAGACCTGTGTCAGGGCTAATAATAGACCTAAGAGGATTAGGGTTTGCTAGAACTAAAACTAGGGGCAAGGGTAGAGCTAAGGCTGGTGCTAAGGCTAGGGTGAACGCTAGGGTTTCCAGCTAGGGCTCTGGACTAGTGCTCTAGGCTAGGGGTTTGGCCTAGATCTCTGAGCTAAGGCCTCTGGGCTAGGGCTCTAGGCTAGGGCTCTGGGCTAGGGCTTTAAGCTAGGGCTAGGGCTCTGGGCTAGGGCTTCAGGCTAGGACTAGGACTCTGGGCTACGGCCCTGGGCTAGGGCTCTGGGCTAGGGCTCTGGGCTAGGGCTCTGGGCTAGGGCTTCAGGCTAAGGCTAGGACTCTGGGCTAGGGCTCTGGGCTAGGGTGCTGGGCTAGGCGTTGTTTTAAGCGTTTTTAAATCAAATAATCATTGTCTTGAAGCCAAAATTGTTGTCATTTGTGTTTGTTTCAAACCACTTTTCTGGCCCAGTAATTAATCATCCTGTCGTGTTTGGCTTCTCTTTGTTATAGGGCTTTCTTAAGCTCAGTTTAGCACATTTTAACATCAGATTTTTTATTTTTTGAGTTTAAAAGAATTTTATTTGTGTTTAGGTTTAAAATTTCAAATTTCAAAAAATTACATTTTGGATCATTTTAGAATTTAAAATTTTTAAAAATTATTTAAAATAGCCATTTTTCAATTATTTTTAAAATTTTAAACTTTTCACTGTAGCTTTTCTAAAAGTCACAACATAGATCAAAGAGACCGCCTGACAGTTAGGTAGTAAATAGTTTTCGGCCGAAATATCGTCGTGTCTAAGAGACGATAGACGAAGGAAGAAACATTTGTTTATTAGTTTTTCTTGTTTACGATCGAAGGACGGGCTTCGATCGGTTCACCCCTCCCTTCGTTCTCCCCCCTACCTTTGTTTTTTACTTTTTTTCGGAAATCCGATTTTTAACGTTACTTTGTTTTTGTCAGCTTCTACGGAGTAAAGGTTTCTGGTTTTTGAAGTTTTTGTTTTTTGGAAGGTGGTCGATTTTTAAACGGTTTCTTTAGCTTTTGTGGAAGTTTTGGGCTAAATTTTATCTTACTATAAATTTTAGGCTTAACTTAATCTTACTATAAATTTTAGGCTTAACTTAATCTTACTATAAATTTTAGGCTTAACTTAATCTTACTATAAATTTTAGGCTTAACTTGATCTTACTATAAATTTTAGGCTTAACTTGATCTTAGTATAAATTTTAGGGTTAACTTGATCTTACTATAAATTTTAGGCTTAATTTGATCTTACTATAAATTTCAGGCTTAATTTGATCTTACTATAAATTTTAGGCTTAACTTGATCTTACTATAAATTTTAGGCTTTTTTTAATTGTTTTATCAATTTTGGGCTTAATTTGATCTTCTTATCATTTTTAGGCTTAAGGTTAACTTTCCATTCATTTTAGGCTTAAGTTGATCTTATTATAAATTTTAGGCTTAATCTTTGTTTCTTTTTATCAATCTTAGGCTTAATTTGATCATTTTATCGATCTTAGGCTTAAGCATATTCTAACGCATGTTTAAAACGAATTTTAAGTTTATGCTGATTCTTTAGGCTTATGTTGAGCTTTTTCGGGGCTAATGAAGAATCCTTACCCTGTGCATTATAGTTTTTTAAACTTGTCTTAGGCTTATGTTTTAATGTTTTTTCTATTTTTTTAAATTTTATAGATTTTTTATTTTTAGGCTTAGATTAGGCATATAATTTCGTCTTAAGCTTAAAAAATTTTTTTTGCGATTTTTTTGCCTTTTAGGCTTACCTTGAATATAAATATAGTTTCACAGCTTATTTATAGGTCTGATTTTGTAAGGTATTTGTATACTTTATAGTAAATCAATGATTATTTGGCTGCCGTGATGATGTTTGTTTTTCGAGCGGAAAAATGCTTTTTGTAATACTTTTTTTGAAATACGATAAGACAAAATAACGTGTTTTCGAAGCGATTGACCAAAAAATTCAACAGCTTTTTATTTTTGGCCGTTTTTTATTTTTAAAAATGATTTTTAGGTTTTTGAAAAAATTTTAGGCTTGTTCCAATTTAAAGGTGAAAAAAAAATTAGGTAAGTAGTAATGACAAAATATATGTTTCTGATCATTATTACGTTGTGTTTTTTTTTGTTTTAAAATAGTATGACATATCTTATGACAAAAAGGTTAGTCATCGCTGTTTTATGAATTTTATAGATCAAAAATACAGAATGATGTTTTTGAACTTTTTGTTTTGTAATGCAGGCTAGACCAGAGCTAGACTAAAGGTTGGACAAGACTAGGGCAATAAGGCTGGGCTTATAGCTATGGCTTTAACTATGGATATGACTATATCTATGGCTATGAATATGTCTATAGCTATAACTATGGCTATGTCTATGACTATGGTTATAGGCTATAGTTTCTGGTTATAGTTATGGTTACGGTATGACTAGCTAGAGTCAGATTTGGTAACAATTGCTGACCAGTTTTTTAAAACTTTTTGAGTCAATTTTCATTTTTCAACTAGAAAAACAGTTTTAATGTGTTTCCTTCTTACTCTTTCCTATTTTTCCAGTTTGCGTGACTCACAAAGCAAATTTTGTCAAGTTTTTCAAACCAAACGTATGTGTAATTATTTTTGAATCATATAAAACATGGCTACACATAGCCTTAATAAAGTTTTGTTTAACTTTAGGGCCGTTTTTTTACTTTGAGATAAAAATTTTTTAATTTTTGTTAAAATTTTGAAATTTTAAATTAGGAATAACTTAATGTCTTCGTAAGACATTACGATGTTTTTTGTGTTCGACACTACTTTTCTCATAAGCCGTACTTTATATACGAAATTCGTGACTTTATGTACAATATAAGGAACTTGAGGGTCAAAATAATTTTAACGTATTATATTATTAATTGTTTCATATTTAATAAATTTTGATTACAGAAGTAACTTAAAATGGCTTTTGAAATGCAACAAATCATCGAATTGATCCTATGTATCCTCCTTCCTGTAAGTTGCTATTTTCATGTTATACTTCTGTAGAGCAAAGTATTTTATGTTATATAGTTATTAAAATGTAGAAAACATTGATTTATGCAGTAAAGATGGCTTTAACGTAATGCCAATCTTGGCGGGAAATTCAAAAATCTAAAATTTTAAACTCAATATTTTAAAATGAAATTTTACCTACGTACTACTGACACTAGTAGTACCGTCAAGTAAAAATTTGAGCTAATTTAATATACCCTATGATAAGTTATGGCAATTTGAAATTTCATGAACTCAAAGAACCAAACATAAAATACTAAATTTTCAGCCCTTGGCCGTGTTCATCCACGCTTCGGACTGTAACATCCACGTCATTTTGAGCATCATCTTATTGTTCATCTTCTGGTTGCCAGCCGTCATTCACGCCTTGTGGTACTGCTTCTTCCAATAGACCGGTCGAAAAAACAACTTGCCTCTGATTTTTTAAAATTTTCATAATCTTTGATGTTGTAATATAAAACTTTTTTAATTTTACAATAAATTTTACTTTTTTAGGTTAAATTTATTATTAGTTTTATGACTTTTTAAGTTTTAAATTTTGACTTACAAAAAGAGTGATTAAGACGGAATGCCAATTTGTGATTGGCGCATGCTTGTTTTCGTGGTGGGAATTCTTCATTGTTAATAATTTAAAAAATATTTTTAGATCATTTTTTAAAATTTTAATAAAAAATTTGAAAAGAACATTTTTAGGTTGAAAAAATGCGAAAATTTGATAAAAGGTATCATTTTGAATACTTGTCTGATCCGGAGTCTGGTTTATTATCAGAATTCTGATACTCTTGTTTCAAGTTGGTAAATGTGAGTTTTATATGTTTTTATGCAAGACAATTGATAATATGTCTATTATCTAAAACAACATGATTTTGTTCTTTTTTTTACAACTTCTTTAATATTTTAGGTATTTATCTTGTTTCAACTTTGTATTTATTCCTATTTTTACATAAAGTTATATACCTTTTGTATTTATTAATTTTTCTATTTAAAGATAATGTTATAGACCTTGTGATCTTGACAATGGACCCGCTGTTCTCCTTGAGCTGTGTGTTAATAACTGTCAGTATCTACACGACCATTTTTTGTTCGAAAAAGGCGAAGAGCGATGAGAATAAGTCTAAACCATTATCGAAGGATCAACCTGCAGGAGCAGCTGCAGACGAAGCCAAGTCTAAAGGAGATAACGCTAAACCTGCTGGAGATGATGCGAAGCCTAAGGGAGACGAAGCTAAACCGGCACAAAAAGACGTAGTGGTTAAACCAATAGAGTATCTTAGTTTACCGTGCAATGAAAAGACCGGGTTGAACAAGTCTGATGTCAACAGTGAAGGGCTAAAGTGAGTTCATCATATTGATTTTGGGTCGGTTTTTAGGAAGATGGTTAATTTTAGGGCAGATAGATGTTAGGATAGGATAGGTAAGAAATAGTGGGTCAGGAAGAGCCCTAGGGTAAGACTATTCGTTTAGATCTAAGTGTGAGTTAGACTAGAGCTAAATAAGCTTATATTATTATAGGTGCCGACATAAAGAACCCGCCATACTTTTTCTGTGTTTTCCTGTATAAAATGGCGGGTTCTTTATGTCGACACCTAATACTGCTGGTAAGGTGGTTTATACAGGTATAACTTATGATTAAAACTATTTTTCAGAACTCCAACCTAAAGATACACGTACCACAACAAAGAACGACAGCTTCGGATTAGGAACCTTCTGATTTTAGTTTTAGATATTCAATAAACTTGATTTTGTATATTCGAGTTATCGTTTAATGGTTTTAACAATGGTTCTTATATTTTTGCACGAACAATAACGGTTTTTTCAATTTTAGGTAACAAATCTTAACTTTTTTCTAATTTTGCATTGGAAATGAGGTTTTTTAAACCTATATTTTAATCTTTGTAAAGTTTAAAGCCAGCACCTGCAATAAACACCGGCCAATATTATTCATAATTAATTGATTTTGACTTTTTCACTTCGAAACCATTGTCCAGCACCGTTCTTCAATCTCATTTATGGAAATTTTATTGTTCACATGGTATTTTCCGAACATTTTGAGAAGAAAATTGATTTTTTACACCAAAAAGCTTTATCTTTGGAATTTTTCGTCGGAAATGAGGATTTTTGAATTTTAGGTAACAAAATAAATTTTTTTTTAATTTTGCGTTAGAAATGAGGATTTTTTGAAGTTTAGGTAACAAATTCGAGTTTTCTGCCAATTTCGTACTAGAAATGAAGATTTTTTTAAATTTTAGGTAGCAAATTAGATTTTTTTTATTCGTATGAAAAATGCAGATTTTAAAAATTTTAGGTAATAAATTCGAGGTTTCTGCCAATTTCGTATTAGAAATGAAGATTTTTTTTAAATTTTAGGTAACAAATTAATTTTTTTTAAAATTTTGCAAAAAGAACCGACTATTTTCTATTTTTATGGTAGTATTTACATTAGAAAGTTGATTTTTGTTTGACATTCGGAAAGCTGTGATAGGGAAAGGCAGTTTATTGGAATCATGAATAATACGAGCCGTTCGATTTCGAATTTAAATTTAAATTATCGGAATAAATTCGAATAATCGTTTAATGCTCGTTTTCAGACGGTTTTTTCCTGTTTTTGTCTTATTTTTGATTGTAGAATGGGTTTTTTTAATTTTGGGTTAGGCTTATATGAATTGGACTAATATTAATGTTTTGCGTTTTTAGGCTTAATTTTACTTTTTTTTGTTTTTGAGGCTTATATTTGGCTTTTTTGTTTTTTAGGCTTATTACATTAGGCTTCAGTGGGCTTTTAGAATTGTTTTAGGCTTATTTTAGGTTTATATGGTCTTTACGTTATTTGATGTGAGTTTTTTAGGCTTGTATTGTGTTAGGGCTTGTTTTAGGCTTTTATTGGTTTTTTAAGGCTTTGTTTAGGCTTATATGGGCTTTTAGGCGTATTTTAGGTTTATATGGTCTTTACGTTATTTGATGTGAGTTTTTAGGCTTATATTGTGTTAAGGCTTGGTTTAGGCTTATATGTTCTTTTAGGCTTATTTTTAATTAATTTGGAGTTGTAAAACTTCTTTTTTAATGCTTAATTCGAAACAATCAAAAAATCCATAACGAAGTGTCAAAAATTTCATTTTTTACTGATTTTTTAAAAATAGTCGCTTTTTCAACATAATGAAGATAACTTTTGTTATTACCTAAAACCATTTTGTTTACGGTATGATTTACTTGTTTATATGACTTTATACCGCCACTTGAGTTGTTTTCTGGGTTATGGAGTAATGTAATTATGGAAAGTGTAGAGCAATTTGATCCGATTACACGTGAAAAGTATATTTACTTGTAGTTACAGTAATTATTATCGATAGGGTTTTGAACTTTTCTATGTGTGGCTATCGAATTATTTTTGGAATAACACGGTAGGTGGAATCGTGTTGTGGTGGGGCATGTTGAAAGTGTCTGGCGAGGTTATTATTAGTTTGTTGCGTTGTTTTACGTAACAATGTTAATTTTTGACTAAAGTTGTGTAATAGGTTGTTTTAAAGCCCAAATACTGTTATAAAGTATTAAAATTTTAGGCTTATTTCTTTTTTTTGGCTTGTGTTGTTTTTTAGTCTTTTGTGGTTTTTGGCTTTTTAGGCTTAAGTGGTTTTTTGGCTTTTGTAGCCTTTTCGGCTATGTGGCGTATCAGGCTTATGGGGCTGTCAGGCTTATGGGGCATCTCAGGCTTATGTGTTTTTTTGTTTATTAACTTTTTAGGCTTCTTTGGCTTTTTAAGCTTATGTGTTTAGGCTTATGTGGTTTTTTAGGCTTATGTTGTTTTTTTCGGTTTACGTGGCTTTTTAGGCTTATTTGGCCTTTTAAGCTTATCGGGCTTTGTAGGCTTATTTTTTCTTTTAAGTTTATGTGGCTTTAGGTTTGTGGGGCTTTTTAGACTTATGTGGTTTTTTTTCGGTTTATGTGCCTTTTTAGGCTTATGTGGTTTTTTAAAGCTTTTGTCCTTTTAGACTTATGTGGCCTTTTAGGCTTATGTGACATTTTAGGCAATGTATTCTTTTTACGCATTCGTTGGTTTTAGGCTTAGATGGGCTTTTAGACTTATTTAAAGCCTATACCGTCTTTTGGTTTATTTTAAGATTTTATGGTTTTTAGGCTTATTTTAAGCTTAAGCCGGTTATAAATAAATTTTTTATACCTTTCTACAGCCCTTGTCTTACTTTAATATTATATCGCTTTTAGGCTTTTTTTTCTTTTTAGGCTTATATATTTTATGTTTTCAAATTTTTTTTGACATTCTTTACCAAATATGAAAATCCATAAAAATTTTGCGAATTTTTGATTTTTTTTTCTTCAGGCTATGTTTGTCCATCTGTGTTCTCTTTACTTTTGTATCTTTGGGGAAACGTTCTTTCACAATTTTGTCGGACTTTATTATTAAAGTTAGGCTTATGCAATAACTCAAGTTTTTAGGCTTAAAACGTATTTGTGGAAGGGGGCCTTGGGGTCTAACATGAATTTCGCTTTTTAGGCTTATATTCGATTTTAATTTGATATTTAATGTCAGACTTAAAATATGTGTTAGGCTTGAGCCAAGAGCCAAATTTTAGACTAAATTGAATGTTAGGCTTGTATCAAAGTTAAGTTAATACCAAATTCTAAGTATAAAGCTGCCTTGTTTTAGGCTTAAATGTAACAGTGAATTTTAGTTTGTGGTTGGAACTTAGGCTTATACTTTAGTTAGGCTTATACATTATTTAGGCTTATACTTTAGTTAAGCTTATACTTTATTTAGGCTTATACATTATTTAGGCTTATACATTATTTAGGCTTATACTTTATTTAGGCTTATATTTTATCTAGGCTTATACTTTATTTAGGCTTATACTTTAGTTAGGCTTATACATTATTTAGGCTTATACTTTAGTTAGGCTTATACTTTATTTAGGCTTATACATTATTTAGGCTTATACTTTATTTAGGCTTATACTTTATCTAGGCTTATACTTTATTTAGGCTTATACTTTATGTAGGCTTATACTTTTTTTAGGCTTATGTTTAATTTAGGCCAATAAAACAAAATCTTAAACATAATAGTATTGTTTGTGATATTATCTTAGCTTGACCATCATGTGTTTGTTTTAATGGCCAGATATTGTGGGAACAATGGCCATATTCGATATGAAAATCGCAAAACAAAACCTTTTTAATTCGATTTTTTTAATTTTTACAATTGGTTTGGACACGTGAACACGTTTCTTTTCGAATTTATCCTTCATTAAATGGTCTTGCCTTTCGAAAAGCATCAAAAATAACATTAGAGAAGTTATTTTTAAATTTGTTACAAAAGCTTTTTAGAATATTTTTCGAAAATGTTGGTTTTACGGCTTATTGGTACTTTTAGAAGAGTTAAGGCTAGAGAAGTAAGACTTGAAAGAAGTACATCGCGGATGAATGATTAGGATAGTACTAAGGTAGTATAGAACAGTATATGGTAGGGCTAGTGTATTACAAGTATGGCTAGAAGAAGTGTAATTGTAGGGTTAGCAGCACACATTTTGGGCTTATTACGTAACGTTTAGGCTTAGCAGCACAAATTTAAGTTTTATTGCGCAATGTTTGGGCTTAGTAGCACACATTTTAGGCTTATTACATAATGTTTAGTCTTACCAGCACACGTTTTAGGCTTATTACATAATGTTAGGCTTAGCCGCACACATTTTAGGATTATTACTTAATGTTTAGGCGCAGCCGCACTCTTTTAGGCTTATTACATAATATTTAGGCTAAGCTGCACGCATTTCAGGCTTATTACCTAATGTTTAGGCGCAGCCGCACACATTTTAGGCTTAGCTGCTCACATTTCAGGCTTATTACGCCATGTTTAGGGTTAGCAGCACGCATTTTAGGCTTATTACAAAATTTTTTGGCTGAGCGGCACGCAATTTAGGCTTATTACATAATGATTAGGCTTACGGGCACACGTTTTAGGGTTATTACGTAATTTTTAGGCTTATTACATAATATTTTGGCACAAAGTATTTCAATGTTACCCTATCGATTAGTTTAGCAGGGTTATTCATGAAATTTTAGGCTTACAATCTCTGGCTTATGGCTTCCCTCCCTTTATTTCCTCTAAGTTTTTAGGCTGATTTCCCTAACTTATTAATCATGGTTGATCTTTTGTCCGAGTATGTTTTATTTCCGAAACCCAATGGTCAGTGGACATACTGATCAAGGCCATTCCATCCCCTCCAACCCCTACTGTAACATTATGCCAGCACATTCCGAAACTTCCCTGTACTTAAGCCTACTCTCTGTTTTCCCTTTCCAGACGCAATAACAATTGTCAGTTGACTTCGCAAATTGTTTTTACAAAAATAAAAACGAATTTGCATAAATTTGAAATTAATAACCCTGGCGAACCGAGTTTTGATAAGTTTGCAGATAGGGTAATATTAAATTTTGAATTTTTTGAACTTTAAAATATAAAAAAATTTGCTTAGGTGTAAAGGCTTTTTAAGTTTGCATTGGAAATGAGGATTTTTAAAAGTTTTAGATATTGAATTTGTTTTTTATAACGTGTGCGTTGGATATGAGAATTTTTTTAATTTTAGGTAACAAATTTTAATTTTATGACGATTTTTCGAATTTTAGGTAATATATTCGAATTATTTTAATTTTTTATTAAAAATGAGATTTTTTCAAAATTTTAGTTATTAAGTTTAATTTTTTAAAGTTTTTTTTGTTGTAAATGAGGATTATTTGAAATTTAGGTAATAAATTTTGATTTTTTGAAAATTTCCATCGAAATCGTTTTTTTTTAAATTTAGGGTATGAAATTTGATTTTTTAAAAGTTTTTGTTAGATATCAGGATTTTTTGAATTTTTAGGTGACAAATTGGAATTTTTATAACACTTCTTTGAATTTTATGTAATAGCATTGAAATTTTCAAAATTTTTCATTAAAATTTTTTTTTTTATATTATAGGTATCAAATTTGATTTTTTAAAGTTTTGCGTTGGATATGCGATTTTTTTTTAAATTTTAGGTAACAAATTGCAATTTTTATGCTAATTTTTTGAAGTTTAGTTAAGAAATTCAAATTTTATATGAAATTTCAATGTAGGAAGTGAAATAATAACAGAATATATTACAAGGTAGTCTTTTCACTTGCATATAGTCGTATTGACACGTTTTCGTGCAATCATAAGTAATGATAATACGATTATAAACGTATAGCAACATTACATTACTGCTACTATGCATTTGCAAAATCGGAACGGGTATGGGATACGTGTGTATATAAAGGTGGGCTTTAGTATGATGGTCATTTTGTAGTTTGTTGTATTATCTAAAGTGACATAAGCGTGGTATGTTATAAAAAAAATTTTTTAAATGATGACATATTTTTTGAAAGATGACATATTTTTTGTAAAGGATGACATATTTTTTAGAAGGGTTTAAGGGTTTTTATTTTTGTAGCTTCAGAAGTGCGTGTTTTGTTATATATTATACTTATTTTTTGTTGTATTATAATATGTCACATATCATGATGACATATTTTTTAGAAAAGGATGACGTTTTTTTAATTATTTTTTTTAAATTAGATTTTTTAGAAAATTTAGAAAATAATGTAGTTTCATTTATACTATGTTATTTTTTACTTGTCATGATGACATATTTTCTGGAATGGTCCGTTTTTTCGATTCTTCGCGGATTTTTGACAATTTTTTTAAATAAAAAAATTTCAAAATGAATTTTTTCAGTTTTCAATAATAGGGGTTCTGAAGTTCTAAAATTTTATGGCACTAACTTAATCTTAACACATCAAGTTTGTATATATATTACTAACCATGGATAACAAAGTAGTCAAGGACAAATGGTTTTCAATGGAAGGGTATCTCCAGATGAAATATATGAATTCAGGTGTGGTTTTGAATCGAAATGACGTTTTTTACAGATGTTGAGTTTCATTATTGTTTGTCATGTCATGATGACACATTTTTTGGAAATAACGTTTTTAAAATTTAAATTTAGTCAAAAATTTTTAATTTCAGTTGAGGTACCAATCATAATATTACTATTTTCAGCACTATCATACTTCAAGTCCCGAAAACGGTACTATTTTGGATTGGAAGAAAGTACGGACAGTTTACTGTACTTTAAGGACAAAATCGATTTTGATAAACATATCAACTGCCTTGGTACTATACCGCTAAATGGTGCTATATGTGTACCTGCTCCTACACCAAGGCTTTTTACATTACAGTAAGCTTCTTAGAGTAGGGTAGGGAAAGTTGGATAAGGTAACATATACTAGGGTACGGCGGGTTAGACATAGTGTTTTAAGTTTTCATATGATTAACTACAGTAACCTAACTTCAATGATTTCTTTGATTTCAGTGTTGATGGCAAAAAGTACGAGATTGAAGGTGAAAATGGCAAAGCGACGCAATGTTGGGTGAACGCACTGCAGCGACGTCGCGAGCTTAAGGATAGTTTAAATTGGGAACTACCACATATTGTATACAATTCCATGAGACGGAATCGAAGCCGGAGCCGGTCGATCCATTCTTTGGTAAATTTTTTGATTAGTTTTGATAATTAATAACTTTTTTTGGATAATCTTTGTTAATTTTAGGTAATAAATTCGAGTTTTTGGACTAGTTTGCATGGTAGATAAGGATTTTTTAAATTTTAGGCAACGAATTTGAATTTTTAAAAAATTTTACATTACAAATGATAAGATTTTTCGGAATTTTAGGTAATAAATTAGATGTTTTTCTTAATTTTACGTTAGAAATGAGGATTTTTTGAAATTTTAGGTAATAAATTTGGTATATTTTTAATATTTTGCATCAGAACTGAGGTTTATTGGCTAAAAAACTTACTAGCGATGTTATCCATGGTTACCTTTATAATTTAGAGCGATAGTGAAAGTTCCAGCCCAAAACGTCGACCCAAACAGCCGCCAACTAGACGTAAGGTTATTAAATGTAAGACTCACACTTGTTTGAATATTAATATTATACTTACAATACCTAACGGGCTGTTTAACTGGGTTTGAAGGGCTTTGAAAATTTGCACGGTGCAGTTTAAAAAATTAAAATTTTTTTTGAAAAAAAGTTTTTTTTAATTTTTGAAATTTTGATTCATTTTGAGCTAATTTTCAATTTATGCAAATTTTTTGTAAACCATAACATAAGCAATGACTCACTGACCATTACTAATACTGTTTGATGTAACCCCCACTAAAATCGACTTATATTTAACTTTTACGTTACGAAACCGTCTATAAATAGTAATATACTTTTTCTGCTTTCAGTGGAGAATAATCGTCAGCGCTCACTGCAAACCAGCCTGCCTAGTCCGCCGGCGAACAACTGCTCAAATTCAAGCGAATCCCGACTGTCACGCTGCATATCCATGAATCAGCAGGAGCGCAAAGAATCCCTAACGAATGTCCCACCCAATTTCGATGTGTCCAGAAGGAACACGCTTCAGGTAGGGGGAGGTTGGCTTGGGGTTGACTTTGGTATCTTCAAGCTTGACTTGTGGAGAGGGCTGCGAGTGATTTTAGGGAGGGGGAGGGTTATTTTTTCGATAAGTTTAAGGGGGACTAGGTTAAAAGTTTTTTTCACCATTTAATGCGGGGGAAGGGGCGAAAAAAACATTTTTTATTTACCAAAGGTGGTAGGTGTACCACTTTTTACTACTTCTATCACTACCGTTAATCTTAACTTTACTCCTGCTGCTACCTTCACTTCTACCCCCCCCCCCCCCCCCCCCCTCTTTTCCTTCTCCTCCCACTTTTTTTTTCAACCTACAGCTCATGTTATATATCGTTTAGTAAACATACCATGATATACCACTAATTAAAAAAATTACCAATCATCTTTTCTAGCCAGCCCAACTAACCCAAATCCAAGCCATGAACAACCGCAAAAAGCCCTCATGGCTCGAAGAATGGGTCGATAAATGGCTAAACGAACAAATGGACAATGGCTTCGTATCTCGTAAGATCACACGTCGTCACTCCGAACTACCGAACATGGACTACCGCCTGAATCAGATCCCCGAATGCAAAAACTCCACATCGTCATCATTAACATCCGGTCCGGATATTGAGGACGAACATTGTCATGGTATGGATGATATGGGCAACTATGGCAATTGTGGTAAAGGTTATGCCAAAAGTGTTGGCGATCGTGGAAAAAACTTTGGCAAAGGCGGCAACTTGGACATGATTGGCAACCAAAGAAACTTGAACAACTTTGACAACAATTGCAAGGTAATTGACTTGGATAATGTTGGTGATACGAAACGTGTACATAATCATGGACAGAATGGCATGAATTGTCTTCCAAATGGAATAAGTCAAGCTCAAAATGGGATAAGTCGTGCTCAGAATGGCATAGATCAGGCTCAGAATGGCATAAATCAAGCTCAAAACGTCATAAACGACCAAGTTTTTGACAACGACTGTAAAGAAACAAAGAACAACAATGTCATGATCATGAACAACAATATCATGACTTCATCAACAGCTACAACGTGTCCCATGAACTATGAAACACACGTTGATTTTCAGCCAAAGCCTGAAAGTTGTAGCGATTTTTGTCTGGAAACCGACCGAAGCTCGCTACACAGTAGTGGAGCCAGTTTCCCTGAAGTGTACGATGAGTTGATAATGTTGAGGGAAGTGGACAATCAACAAAAGGCCAGAATCCATTCGTTGACGATGCAGCTGGAGAAAATGAAGGAGAAACAATTGTCAAGGTAAGCGTAGTTTTTGAGGTTGGGCAGGGTGATTGGTGGATATGATGGCTTACGTTTTGGTGATGTTTTTTGGTCTTTTTTGAAAAACTTTGTTAAAAGAGCAACGTCCAGATTTTTTTTGTATTGTTATTTTACACCTTGAGATCGAAGAAAGCGGCCGATTTGGTCAAGAATCGGCCGAGAAAAGCTAAATTTAGGTCGGGCCGAGCCTGAAAATCAAAGCACGGGCCGAAAAAGCCCGGCCTGTTGCCCATAAAAACAAATTCGGGTTTGGCCGTCCTGGGGTAAAAATGAAACTGGCCTTGCCTCAACCGTGGGTCCCGGGCCCGAGACGGTTCTCAAAAGTGGTCTCGGCCCGTTTCTCATCTTTAGATTTTTACTGTCATACCTATAAAAGTGAGACAATATTGACGTTGAGAAGCGTCCCATAGCGAGGTCAAATTTGGATCAAGCCCGCTTTTCCAAAAATGAAGATCTGGCTTTGGAGCTTTTGGGGATTTTTAATATAATTACGTTTTATTATCTAAACTCACAAATAGGGCTTACCTAGGTTTTTTGTACTGTCATTTTACACCTGTAGACTAAAAAAAACGGTAAATTTAGTGAAGAATCGGCCGAGAAAGCTCGATTTGTCTTTCTAATCTAGCAAAAACTTGCATCTTGAGACAAATTAGTATAGAGATCAAGGTCCGTGCAATAATTCCCACTTACTATGCGTTGATTGTATTATAATCGGCTTAAATTGTTTATAACAAGTCTGTTTTTTTTCTGGGTTACGATAAACAGAACACCACATCGATACGGCGTTCTGGTTTTATATTATGTAGACAACGCTGAATGACGTCGATTCGTGGTGGTATCTCGATCTGGAGAGACGTTATGTTCGTTACTTTTAAAGGGTTTACAACTATTGACTTATGGTTTTGTTAGGGTATCATATGCCGTAAATATACTAGGGTAGCTCCATTTGTTGTAGTTGTACTAGAGCTGTTGTTGAAAAGTAATAGGGTATTGCTTGTAGTAGTTGCACTAGTACGTAAGCTTGTTTTGGAGTATTATAAAAGTTTTTGTTTTTAGCACGAGCACCAAAGACATGGATGAATCAGCCTTGTTGGAGCAAAATCGGCTTCTAAATACCGAGTTGATTAAACTAAATGACAGATGTCGCTTAATGGAGAAGGAGATGGAAATGTGGAGATCGTATGTTGTTATCAAAATTTTTTAGAGAGGGGGGGGATGTTTTTAAAATTTTTTAAAAGAACTTTACTGTACGTCACCTCAGGTGATTTAAAAAAATTTTTATCCTCCTCCCCCGCCCCCCCCCCCCTCTCCATAAGAAAAAACAAAGACTGTTCGTTTGGTACTACTTATGATAGCATAGATTCGCTAGGCATTATAGTGTAAAAAGGTGTTACAGCGCTCTTATTTTAGCAAAGTAGAAGACCTCGAAAACATGACGGAGAACTTCAAACGGGAGTACGTTTATCTACTACAGAGTTGTGTTCGTATCCCTTTACATGAACATTCCACATGTGATGCAATTCAAGTCAAGCTTTTTGGAGGTGCTGTGGTACGTTACTTGTTATTACAGCTATAAGCTTTACGAAGTCTTTTTCTTTACTTTCTTTGTATTTACGATACTATGGGGTCTCTATAGCACGGTGATGGTACTAAAGGCATTTTTAGAGAGTCTGAGGCGTCGCTTCAGTACTGTTTTATTGGTTACGGTACTGAATATTGCTTGATAGTACTAAGAATTATAATTTAAAATTTTTAGCACGAAAACAGGGTCAAACAACTGTTATCTGAAGCCAGACAAGAAGATCCAAAACTGCCGACATTAGAAAGGTAGGTATTGTATTAACTTTGGGTTACTGTAGCAAAAATTTGTTTTTTACTTGAAGAAGGCGAATGAAGAACTATAATATAAGCTGACTTTTTACTGTACTAAAACATAGTTTATTACAATAAAAATATACTTTTAAGCTTATTACGATATACATTTTAGTGTAACAACTCCAGGCAACTACCATGTAGATGATTATGGTTTCCGTCACACTTTCGATGATGTTCCACTGGCTTTACATTACATTTGCACACAATTGAATTCACATTACTACGCCCAATCTGATGATTACGCTCGACTGAAGTCAAGGTGGAGAATATTATTGGATTCGAATCCGCAGAAAATCGAAAATACAGTAAGATTTTTACATTTATTGTGAAAAAATTTTAATTTTTTTTGAATTTTTAGCATTTAGTAATCTCTGATATAATTGTAGAAAGTGAATCGCCAGCTATGTCGTGCAGGTATACCAAGATCAATGAGGTCAGCAGTATGGAGAGTGCTGATAAACCAAGAAGTAGCAGATTTGAAGGAAAAATACGGTGAATACTATTACCGTAACCTCTGTAGTAGTCAGGGAACACCTTCAGAAAAAATTGTAAGCATCTTCATATTTTGGCTACCGTAATATTGTGCTTAAGCGTTTTTGTAAGAGTTAGGTGATAGTACTTTAATTTGAATTTGCGGTACTATGTAGTACAGAAAATAGTACTGTATAAACACATTTGTCTTATACTGTAAATTTTATATTACTTTTTGATTTTTTGGTTCAATATAGTACTACATATACTGTACTATGCGTGAACTTCTTATATATATGCTATGCCTGGTACTATAATTTCAGTACTGCAACGCCCATCAAAAGCAAATAAATCTGGATCTCTTGCGCACAATGCCTTCCAACGTTCATTTCATGAGTGCCAGTTGCAAAGGCGTCAACCATTTACAAGCCGTACTACGCAGCTTTTGTCTCCACAATCCGATGTTAGGGTACTGTCAAGGAATGAATTTCTTAACGGCCACAGCACTACTGTTCGTTAGTCCTGAAGACGCGTTTTGGTTTTTGATCGCAGTAACGGAAAGGTTCTTTGACACTTCGTACTTTGATCAAAATTTGAGTGGTGCACAGGCAGATCAGGTAAAATTTTTTACGACTAGTGATTTACTGTAAAGTGTACCAGAAGTACCAGAAAAGTTTTTTTATTTTCTTTAAAGTGATTTTTACAAATTTTACAGCATTTTAAGAAAAAAATTATTTTTGGTACTATTGGTACCAGTAGTACTAAAAAGTGTACCAAACGCGGTTTTAATAGATAGTGATGCTTTTTGATGTTGAAAAGTCATTTTTAGGAAGTACTGAAGGAACTTGTTGAATTGAAGTTTCCAAAATTGTCAAAACATCTCGAGGAATGTGATATCGACCTGACTACAGTAACATTGAACTGGTTTTTGGCTTTGTTTTTCGATGCTGTACCATTTCAAGTAAGTCATTTTTAAATTTTTTTGAATTTTAGGTTGAAAATGAATATAGAGTACAATTTTTTGAACATGTGCTACATAGTACGTTGTACACAGTATTATTGGTGCTATATAGTATGATTGGCCAAGTATGATTAGGCACCGACATAAAAACTCGCCATTTTCTACAAGAAATTAAAGCCAAAGGATGGCGGGTTCTTTATGTCGACACCTAATACTATTAGTGCTATACAGTACGATGTGCTAAGTATTATTAGTATTAGTAGTACTTTTTCATATTGACTACGTAGTAAAAAGAATTTACTATTTTAGACAATGCTACGCATCTGGGACTGCTTTTTGCTGGAAGGTACCAAAGTGTTATTCAGGTTTGCTGTTGCTCTATTAGGACAGTACCAAGATGAAATTCTGGAAAGAACTGATACAATTGCTGTTATGAAGGTGCTAAAGGCAGCGGTTAGGCTTACATATGATGTTGATGGACTTATCAAGGTACGTTGGGGGTAGTACAATATAATTAAATATATATTTTTAAAAATTTGTTTTAGAAATTAGGTATTTTTGAATTTTTAGGTAAAAAATTTAATTTTTTTTGAAATTTTACGTTGGAACTGAATTTTTTGATTTTTAGGTAACAATTTTTTAAATTTTGCTTTTGAAATGAGGTATTCTAGAATTTTAGGTAACAAATTTAATTTTTTATTAAAAAAATTTTTGCATTGAAAAGGACAAATTTAAAAAAAATATTTTTAGTTTGCCTTTGATGACATGCAGCCATTTCCAAGCCGAACAACCTTACACAGTAAACAAGCCGGCTACTTGGAGCTACTACAAGTTCGTCTGAATCAAAGAATGGTACTGAGAAATTGCTTGGATGTAGTGGTATGTTTTGTTGCTATTATTTTTTTTGTATTTGGTCGCTTTTTTAGTTAAAATATAAAAAGGTTACTAGCCGTATTTTACAATTTTATTCTTTGTTAAAATTTTGCAAAAACTTTCTTTACAGCACAAAAATTGGGAATCACCTTCCTTATTTAACAAAAATGGCAAAAACTTTCTTTACAAAACAAAAAGTGGCAAGAACTTTTTTTACAACGCTTAAATTTTAAAAATTTACTACGGTAATCTTCTAGGACATATCGGCCGAAACCTCCGAGAAGATTTGTGATTTACCGGTCGAAGCCATCGTGTTCAACGAGCACAAGCCCGGGCATGGTTATGTATGTGCTGGCAATCAGAAGCGAGGAAAAATAGCACGAGTGTCATTGAGCGATAGTATTGCGACAATGTCTACAATTGACATTGAATTCGATTGTCGACCGGTCTCTATGGTCATTTTGAAGGATGAAATGGCATTTTTGTCGCTTTTGTCCGGTTATATTGTGGCATTGAGTTTGGTAGAGAAAAAAGAGTAAGTATCGTTGGTTTTGACGTATTTTAGGCTTAGCAGCACACATTTTAGACTTATCATGTAATGTTTAGGCTTAGCAGCACGCATTTTAGGCTTATCATTACACATTTCAGGTTTATTAGGTCATCTTTATTCTGTATAAGTAATCATTTTTAGAGAAATTTTGTGGGAATTGAAGTTGAATGATGTAGCACTAAAGCTACTGTATCATGAAGAGCGACTATATGCTGCTTTGGCTAATGGTACTCTTACTGTATTGGAGGTATGTTTTTTTTAAGTTTTCTGATCCCTTTTCCTCCTCCCTCTTATCGCTCTTTAATCTGTTTAACGTGAGTACTGTAACAGTCAGCATACAGTACTTCTTTTGTGTAAAAACTGAATTTAGAACGTGTTTGTCAAAAGACCTACGTGCCTTGACTTGTATCACATTCCAATCGCTGCTGCACCAATTACAGATGCTATCATGGACGAGGAATGTTTATATCTTGCTGTAGCATGCAAAGTTGTCATTCTGAATAGGGAGTACGTTATGTTAAATTTTACTTTATATTTTAGCATATTTTTGTAACAAACGGCAAAAACTTTATTACAAAACAAAAAATGGCAAGAACTTTCTTTACAAAACAAAAATTTTAAAAAAATTTTACATTTTAATTTTAGTTCTTTGTCTACCATCAGTAACATGTATGTAGCCTCATCTGCATGTGGAAGTCACGTGCCAATGTTCGAGAAGATTCGAGCTTTTGCTGATTCACCGTACGGTATCTGGTTGATTACAGCACATTCGTCGTTGATACAATTGTGGTTGGAGTCGGAATGTCAAATGTTGTTTGACATTACTTATGACCATAGCCAAAGGTAATTCTTCTTTAATTTTTTATTTTATTTGATTCCACGGTGCAAAAAGATAGAAACATTGCACCGTGCAGTTCAAAAAACTTTTTAAAAAAATTTTAAAAGAATTTTAAGTTTAAAAATTCAAATTTTTCAGTTCCCGCCGACCCAGCTTTGACGAATACGACCAGCTGGAGCCGGTCGAAGTCTACTCCATAATGTTTCACCAAAACGAGTTGTGGATCGGCACGGTGGACGGCTACTTGATGCTCTACACCGTGAGTCAAGTCGAAGATTCGTGGGAACGAAAAGGATCTCTAAATAAAAAGTCATCGCGACTATACGAACGATATCCACCTGGAAAACGATTGTCTCCAGTTCAAAACAATGTTCATGAGATGCCATTCATGAGACAAACCATGTATTATATACCGACGGACAAGGAGAGACTGTTGGAAGAGATTGCTAGTGCTAAAGAGTACCCAGAGAGCGAAAGACAAACCAGGAAGATCTCTGTTATTATTGATCCTTCAACCAAGCAGTACAAAGGTAGGGTAGAGGGAGGTATGGTAGGGTAGGGTAGGATAGGGTAGGGTATGCTAGGGTAGGGTAATGTAAGGTAGAGTAACTTAGATCAGGGTATTGCTGAATGAAAGCATACAATTTCTGATTTTAAAATTTTTTACATTGGAAAAATTTTTCAGTAAACGTCGAAGACGTTCGTCAAATCAGCGCCGAATCTCACTCTGAAACCTCATCTAATATGAATTCACTGTCTCCAAAGAGCGCCACATCATCCTCAATGTCGCCCGGGCTCGATTCTTCCATTATCAATGATAAGCCAAGGTAAGTTGTAATAAAATATGAAATTTTTTGTGATACAGTATCATGAAGTAAAGTTATTTTAACTCTATAACTTCATTGTTTGAGTTTATTGCACGGTGCAGTCTAATAAATGAGTGCACAGTGCAGACTTTTTGAATTTTTATTTTTAAAAATTATAAAAAATTTTAATTTTTAGAAGAAAGGGGAAGTTATGCAAAGGCTACAGTATTGATTCGGCCGTTTCACTGCGTTCTGTCGACAATACCAAATATCAAACAGGTAAATGTTATTGTCTTAGGTATAAGCTGACCTTTTAAGGCTAAAAAACTTGAATATAACGCTTTTTTTGTTTCTAGCATGTGAAGTAATACCCGAAACATCATCAGACACAAACATGAAGTCAACCGAAGATTCATTGTCAGATTGCCGCAAAAGGAAGCCATTAAGGCAACGAAGGAATCCAAATGCGGAATATCTGAGTTGTTGGACGGGAGAAGGGTCAATGGAATATGATGACACATTTGATCTGTATTCTGAAGTCGATGGTGAGAATCTTGGTAATTTTCATTTTTTTTAGGCTTGGTCTGTTGAGAATTCATTACGTCTAAGCTTAGTAGGCTTAGGATTAGTAGGCTTAGGCTTAGTAGGCTTAGGCTTAATAGGCTTAGGCTCAGTAGGCATAGGCTTAGTAGGCTTAGGTATAGTAGGCTTAATAGGCTTTTGCTTGGGCTTACAAGTCTTAGTAGGCTCAGCCGGAGCATGTTTAGGCTTATGCTTTTTAAATTTGAATAAAGATTTAAAATTTCAGACGTACTGAAAAACGAAATCGGCCTATTAGAAGAATCATTGGCCAGAAACTCACCATCAATCAACAAATCCATACAAATTCCAGTTCGAAAAATGAGTTCAAAAATCTTTGGAAAGTACCGGTCGTTGACAATCGACGAAAACAGAAGTGATACTGACAATGCGAGTCAGAGCAGTGATTCTGTCAGTCAACGGTCGGTTTCCTCAGCCGATTCCACCGCCCGGAACCGGGTTTTGCAACGATTATTGAGTGAAAGATTGGAAAAACAGAAACTGAAGCTCCGACGACGGGATTTGGACATTCAAAGCAAGTTGTTGATGGTTTTTACTGCATTCAGTAGACTTATTTTAGCTTACTAGTTAGTATTATGGGCTATGTTTAAACACAGAGAGCTACATTTATATTTCTAACGTGTGTAAACGTTTTGAGGTTTCACAAAGCATATTCCAGCAAACGCAGCCATGTTGGTAGCCCTAACAGAAAGTCAAGAAATCGATCCAAACTTAACATTGACAACTTCAATCAACCCAACAGAACCTTCAACATCGTCTTTGCCAGATACTGCTGCCAAATTGAATGCGACTAAGGCTAAAATACTGTCGAGGAAGTGCTCGGCCATCTATCAAGATAACGAGCACGAAGAACCGTTGGCCGAAAAGCCGGTACGGTACTCGATTAAAATGCAATTGATGATGAAGTTGAAAGTGTCGGACAAGCCGTTGAAGTGCATTACGCTAACTGAGTAGGTTTATATTGGGTTGGGGTTTTTAGTGGAAATTAGGATTTTTTTAAATTTTAATTAATAAGTTGGGATTTTTTTAATTTTAGGTAATAAATTCGATTTTTTAATGATTTTGCATTGGATATTAGTATTTTTTGGAATTTTATTTAGGTAACAAATTTGAGTTTTTTGCAAATTTTGCGTTTAAAAAGCGGATTATTTGAAATGTAGGTAATAAATTAGATTTTGTTGTAGTTTTGCGTTTGAAAGAATTTTTTTGAATTTTAGGTAACAAATTTTGATTTTTTCGGAGATTTTGCGTTTGAAATGAGGATTTAGATTACAGATTTGATTTTTTTTGCATATTTTGCATTGAAAATGAGGATTTGTTAAAATTTAGGTAACAAATTTAATTTTTTAACGGATTTTGCGTTAAAAATGCGGATTTTTTGAAATTTTAGGTAACTAATTAATATTTTTTTATCAATTTTGCGTTTGAAATGAGGATTTTTTGAATTTTAGGTAATAAATTGGTTTGTTTTAAGTTTTTTATTGGAATTAAAATTATTTGTTTTTAGTTTCAACGGTGAACCAATGGTAATAACCGGAGCCGGCAACTACGGCGACGAAGAAGCTATTTTGCGGTGGCGACGCGACAAAGTCAGTGTAAGTGAAATTTGTGAAGGTTTTAAAAGTTTTTTGGTTTTTCACATTAGAATTTATGGACTTTAAATTTCAAAAACTTCAAATTCAAAGTTAAAATTAAAATTTTAGGGCCTCTGGATCAACGACCCATTGGCCGATGCCCAAATGTCGGGCCGTCGTCGCACGACGATGACAGCAAACGGTCGTCTGACCAAAAAGTAGTACCATTATAAACTATTGTAATCTCTTCCTATTGTATACTTGTACCACATACAGTATTTTTTAGTATTTACAGTAATTATGTACTGTATGTTTTTTAGCAGAAAATGGGTTATAGGTCATTTTTAACTAACATATTAACATTGGTCAAAAAATACGTAGAATTTTCTTGTTACTAATTTATTGTACCTAAAATTGTATTCATTTGTCATTCTTGGCTAAAACACAATTATTTTGTGGAGAATTTTAAAATTTTTGAAAAATAAATGAAAATTTTAGAAAATTTTGAATTTCTAAATATTTTTTAATTAAATTTGGGGTAAAGTACAACGAACTTTTCGTTTTTTTTAAAGTTTTTAGCCACTTTTGGCAAAAGTGAAAGTTCGGCAGCTCGCGCTTTAGATAAATAAACAAAGCGCAGGTTGCAGGTCTTAGAATGTGCACTTTTTTAAAAAAATAGAACAAAATACCAGTTGAAGTTACAATTAGTGTATGCAAAAGCAAAAAAAATTATCACTATTCAAATTTACCATAATGGAAAATCGTATGTTTGACAAACGGCTATATACGAACATGTATATTTAGACAGAGAAAGACGTTTCCGATGACTCAGCGACGTTGTACTGTCACATAGACAAACACAAGGCGTTAAACTTTGTTACTTTTATTATTTGACCTTATTTACAGTGTGGTTTATTTTATACTAGTTATTAATATCAGTAACTACTAGTATTACACACTGTAGTATACAATAGTACTGTAATGTGTATAAGAAAGTTATGTTCAGCTGATCCTACATGGAATATGAAGATGGTAAGCAAAGATTTTAATGTAAAATACGGAGACCTTTTTGTTCAGCTTTTGACTTTAAAATTTTGTAGCGTCGTCATCACACCGGCTGTAAAGGTACATGTGAAGATGCTATACATGCTACTGCTTTTATATTACATATAATGTTTTGTTATTCTACTCAGTAAGTTTGACTTTTTTTTAAGTTTAAAGGTTGGTTTTTGGCTGGAATTCAAATTTTAAACGCTTTTATGTGCAAAATTTAGGAAAGGGGTACTGTAATTTTTTGATTTTTTCATTTAAAGTTAGCTTGAAAGTCTAAAATTTTTTTATTTTCAGTATATTAGTAGCTATGACAGCATCGAGAACGCATGAAAAGCTAATATTCGGTTTGGTAATTACTACAATATTGTCGTATCTTGTGTCAATTATCGGATTTTGGCGTAGGATAAAGTTACTACTGCTTCCTCATATCCTACTTGACGTAAGTTTTTATTTACTGAGTATTTTTAATATTAGGATTTTGAGTTATAACAAAATAGAGTTTAAGTTCTAGCAATTGAGCTTTTTTTCGTATAACATGTCACTGTCAGCCTGCCAACCCACTTTTTACAATTTTTTCTATTTTCAGGCAATTTCTCCATTACTATACATCTACTTAACTAGCACAGTGATAAAACAGACAAATCCGGATTATTCAACATCATTAGAAGTTACAGTTGACAGGCTTTTTGATGGTATAACAGACGTAGAAGCCAGCATATTGTGCATCATGATGACATTATGTATTTTGTGCCAGTTCTTGTTCGAGTACTGTTTGATGCGAGGTATAATGGGTGTAGATCTACTTTATTGGATTGGAGAAGAAAAGCCAATTTCAAAATTTTCTAATATTTGTAAGTTTTGGTTGATTTAAAATTTTTAAAAAGAAAAATATTTTTAAAAATTAAAAATTTTTCTTTCTGTATCGTGCTATAAAAAAACCTCAACGTGCAATTTTTTAATAAATTTTTACTGCACCGACAAAAATTATGATTTGTGGTTGCACCGTGCAATCACAAACATCAATTTATATTATTACTTATCATGATGAAAACGTGACAGATTTGTGTAAAGAATGTTCGTATGTTGGTCTTGTCCCTCTTCTTATCAATGATTCGACGCTCTTTCTCCAGTTTCATGAAAGAGAAAAGGGAAACAAAAACAAAACAAAATTTGCGGCGTTTTGCATGGGACCACCAGGTGTTTTGGCCTTGGTTTACGTGATTTTTGGGGGTTTTTTGGTCGGATAATATACTTTGGTGATGAAGAAAAGATTGTAGAACGTTATTCTGTAAATTTACGACTTAAATGTTATGTGTTGTTCCAGATATATTGGCTAAAATAAGGTTAAATCCACTGTTTTTAGAGGTTACCTCAAGTTTCTTGAAATTTTAGATGGTTTTAAGCCATGAACTTGATGTTATTCAGAAAATAAGTATTGCAGATTAGAGTGGCATATTTTTTTCGATCAACGTATTTGGCACACAAGGTCTAAAGTTAGGTTTTAGGTGTCTTTCTGCCAATTTTTGTCATTTTTAGGTAGTTTTTGAAGCCAAAGCTGTAGTAAAACTACTAAGTTTGCTCTATATATTCAGTTTAAATATATTAAAAATTTTTAATTTTGTTAAATCTTTGATTTTTGCAAAGAAAACAAAATTTATTACCTAATTTTCACAGCTTTCAAATTTGTTTTTTTACTCTTTGAGTACAAAGAGCTCATCTTCCATCTTTTTTGTTGTTATTTTTTGACGTTCGATTCGTTTTTTCGTTCGAGTAAACATTGAAAACATTACAATATATAATGTTAGGTAACATAATGATGAATTGAACGAAAAATTTGGGTTTTAAAAGGGCTTTATTGTAAAATACTGTTAGGAACTGAAACTAGGCTTTACTTTGTTTAAGCATGACAGTTATTATATTAATAAACAATTTAAAATCGGGTTCAGCCTAACTGACTGAACCGTGCAGTTTTTTTTGTCATTTTGGTAGATTCAGCAATTACTCTAACTATTCCTTTTTAGGATGTCCCGTGACTACACAGCAGAGCTAGAAAAATTTCTCAAACTAGCCGAACCATACCTACCGTATGTTTTATGGCCGCTTGGAGTGTATGGTGCTACGAAAATATTGTCCTACTTGATACCTGGGGCTCATCGAAGGTCGAGGCTGAATCTTAAGGACAAAACCGTTCTAATCACTGGTGCTTCTTCTGGTCTTGGGCGAGCTTTGGCGTTCGTTTTTTATGAGAAGGTAAGGGTTTACTGTGGCTTTTTTGAATTTAAATTTAAAAGCGGGAAAAATTGAGCTTCATAGGCTTAAGTAGGACACAGAGGTATAGGTGGTACATAATAAAAGGTTTACAGTACAATTTTAAGCTTAAAATATGTATAATTTCGTAATTTTTATGTAAAGCATATGATTTAAGGGAGCAAAAGTCATTGTAACAGCCAGATCAATTGAACAACTCAAGTCTCTATGTGACGAACTACAACAAACGGGTACTGAAAAGGGCTGGAACAATCCGCACAAGCCCGAATACAAATACCTCGACCTGGTTGATCTGGTAGACGATGCGGTAGCGACGCGACAACTGAACGAAATCAAATTGTTAGCCCTAAACAATGGTGTTATTGATGTGTTGGTCAATAATGCGGGTTTGTCGAATCGCGGATCGTGCCAGGCTACTGATGTGAATGTACAGCGAAAAGTGTTTGATGTCAACTACTTCGGTGCTGTGGCCGTGACCAAGGCTGTGTATGATGCTATTCCGGACGATGGTGCTATTGTTACTATTGGCAGTATACAATCAAAGGTCGCGTTACCATATAGGTCGGCTTATTCGGCTAGTAAACATGCGCTTATGGTAAGTAATGCTAATAACCTTGTATTAAAACTCCACAAACTTTTTTAGGCATTCATGGACTCCTTGCGAGCCGAAGACCGTCCTACACTTCAAGTCCTCAACGTGTTCGCAGGCTACATGAACACCGGTTTCGGATCCCGCGCCCTCAACGCAGACGGCAAAAAGCACGGCATCGAAGACAAAAACCAAGCCAAGGGATATAGTCCAGAATACGCAGCCAAAGTAGTTGTGAAGTCACTTTGCAACCGAGAAAGTGAACTTGTTTTAGCTCCTTTGTCCAGCTCCATTGCCATTTGGCTACGGTTATTGACGCCAAACTTGTTGTCATGGGTTTTGCATCGTCGTGCTCGTAAAGAGATCGAAGGATATGCCAAACAAGAATGATATGTTGTAGTTTTCTAAATTTATATGTTGTCATAAGATTTTGTCGTACTATGCAGGGACGTCGTTTGGGGGAGGGGTACCCCCCCCAGGGCCAATCCGAAAAAAATTACACAGGTAGGTACCTGTACGTGCAAAAACGAAAAATAAAAATTTTGAAAAATCGGTCCGCAGGTAGGGACCTGTGGACGAAAATTTTTTTTTCGACCTCCCCCCCCCCAGAGAAAATCCGTAGCGACGCCCCTGGTACTATGATAATTTCTACCGTATTATGATAAGTTTTATCGTATTATTATGACTTCTGTCATAGTATGATAGCTTTTACCGTAATATAATGATATCTACCTTCACGAATTTCTATAATATTTTAATAAAACTGTATCGGGTTCAATAAAATTAACAACAAAATAGAAAAAAGAATACCGCCAATCGGCCACAAAATGACATTCTTTAGCCGAAAATTGATGTTGGACTTAAAAACATTCATCATCTGAACTTTCATCTCCACCAGTAGCGGCCTTCAGAGCTGCTCTTTGTTTGTTCGTCATCATCTTCTTCTCATCGAATACACGATCATAGCTCTTGGCTTCTTTGTCCTTCAGAATCCTTTCACGTTCTTCTTGTTCAGCCTTTTGGCGGATTCTGGCCGCTTCTTTCTGAAACATACATTATAGTTAAAAAATTAAAGACTTTTGTATAGTACAAGTTCATTAGCTTAAAATCGATTCATCTTTTAAAAAGAAATTATCCTACCTCTTTTAAACGTTCCTTTCGGTCTCTAGTTTCTCTTTCTTCTTGGTAATCGTAATTATCATCAACAATTTGAGTTTTATTCAGACGATTTACAATGACGTTGTTCTTCGTTTCAATTCTAACCTAAAATTCAAAAAATAAGTATAAAATAACGTAAGCTTACCTTTTTGACAGCTTTCTCACTGTGGAATCCAATTTGTCCAACAACCATGTCGCCAGTCTTTTTTAAATTCGTCCACATTGTGTAGACAATATCAATGTTGTTCAATTTACATCCCTAAAGCAATATGTCAATTAATGTCAAAAAATCTTGTAACAACTATCAATGGAATTAGAGTCTAAAAAAAGTTATAATAGTAATAAAAGTAATCTAAAACAAGATAACGCTACAGAACAGTTAACTTACTTCAATTGAGTTAGCTTTAACCAACTGACAGCAATCTGTGATCAAATCTTGAGGTATGGTATCGATAGTCATGTTGGGAGGCAGCCTCAAGTAAACGTGAGCAGAAGAATACTTGTCCACGTGAAACCATACGTCTTCTGGCCATCCCCACCTAAATATTACCACAGTTATAGAAAATTGTATAAATAAGATAGTATCATAATATAGCAGTTAAATCTTCATTTTGAGTGTCGTAAAAGCTGATGGACACTATTATAACTACTTTATATTAAAAGAAAACGTTACCTGATCAATTTCTCGTTTTCGTGCTTGTCCCGACCCATGTACAGCAACACTGGAGGATCAACAACATTCGAAGTGAATTTTAGCACCATTTTCTGTAACGTACAAACGTTATTTTTAATACAATAAGCACTTCAACAATAAAAAGAACGAAAAAATTCCCAATTTTGTGTAATTTTCCAGAAAAAAGACTTGACATAAGCGTAACAGTTGGCTCAATTTATCAATATGGAATGAAAGTAAAAACATAAAACATCATTTTTATGGTATTGACAATCACTTTTCGTTAAAATTATTCGTCAAAACTGAATAATAGTCTTCGTTTACATCGTTTTTACACCAAGACTTGTTTAGATCGAATACGGAACAGAGCCTCACCAGAGCCTCCTTAGCTCAGCGGTAGAGCGTTGGACTTTTAATCCAACGGTCAGGGGTTCGATCCCCCTAGGTGGCTTGTTACTTTTTAGAATATTTTTATACAAAAATTGATTTTTTATTATCAAAGCAGTTATTTTACTAACATTTTTCAAATGAAAGTGCGGTTTTTTCATAGTAAACTACAACGTAAATGCGGTAATAAAAGACTTGGCTCATCAGGTCAACTTTTTCTTTTAAAAATTGTTTTTCGGAAAAATTACTTTTACTCCTGTTATCAACTTTTGGTACTTTTAAAGGTTCGTGATAATTTTTTATCAGGTTTTGCATATTTTTTGGCTTTTAATTTTTATATAATTGATTTTGTTTTATTTTTAATTTTTTCATGAATAACATGCTTTTAGGTTGCATTAACTTGCTGAAATGTCTAGATGGGGACTATTTATAGCAAAGCAGAAAGGACAGATCGTGTTACATGCTAAAACATTTGGTCTAGTTGGTGGAGTAATAGCATTTTTATGCGGTGGCTTCGCGTTTGGCAAATGGGCGAAGGAAAACTTGAAACCATCAAAGCGACTAATGCATCAAGAAATGCAGGACTTTTTTGAAGCCAGGACGAAAAACCAGCAACCTCAGAAGTTAGCGTAAATGTTATATTGACATTTTTATTGTTTTAGGTGTTTGTTAAGGTTGTACAGCTTGAAATCCGAATAAACTTGTAATAAGATTCTTTGGTTTTGAAGTTTCTTGAAATTGATGTAAAATTTAAACGAGGTTATCGTTTGAGTAAACAGATATAAATATTTGAAGTTTTTATTGTGTATGTCTAGACTCTAGAGATTGGTACTGCCGTTGACACAGGGTCACACCACGAAAACAAGTCGATTTTATGAAATCTTGGCTTCCTGTTTTCGGGCGAAAGCGCGCATTTTTGTTTGGCAAAATAATATTTTATAGACTTACCGTGACAATTTCGTCTGTGTACTAGTACTATTGTTGTAAAAATTTTTAAATAATTATATGTTATTATAGAGAACAATATGACTGCTATTGGTGTACCAATCAAGCTACTACACGAGGCTGAAGGGCATGTAATTACCTTAGAAACGGCTACTGGTGAGTTTAAAGGGTGTTATTGCGGAATTGTAATCTTGGTTTTTACTTTGTTTTAATATTTTTTAGTTTTAGACATACCATAAGTTTTTTTTTAAGTTTAATAAAAGGTATAAAACCCTAGTTTAACGTTTTAATAACTGATATTGTTGTAGGCGAAGTGTATCGTGGAAAACTGATTGAAGCCGAAGACAACATGAACTGCCAAATGGCTGAGATTACCGTGACACTCAGAGATGGTCGTTCGCAAACTTTAGACAATGCAATGGTTCGTGGATCTCAAGTATGTTTATTTTTATATTGCTTTCTGCTTTTAGGGCATTCTGAATATAAAAAATTTCGACTGCACATTTTTACTTGAAAAAGATTTACATTTATTGTGTTTTTGTAAAGCTGCTTTGTTATTTTTAACGACTTTGCTTTACTAATTGTCAATGATAATATCGGACATCATTTCAGATTCGATTCGTGATTCTCCCAGACATGTTGAAAAACGCGCCCATGTTTAAAAATATTGGCCGAGCGCAGAAAGGAGCTATTGGTATGGGGCAAGGTGGTATGCAACCACCAACTCGTGGTCGTGGTGGAGCCTTCCGAGCGCGCGGAGGTCGTGGTGGTGGCGGTCCACCTCGTGGTGGTCCAATGAGAGGCAACTTCCGGGCCTAGAATGTGCGGCTTTTCAATCTCTCAACGTTGTTGTTGATTTGTTCCCTTATTTATTCAATGATCTTTGTTTTTTGCGGTAATATTGTTGTAGCAAAAATAAATTGTGGGTAATGAAAGTTTGTACGCTTCAAGGTGGTTACTGTTACCGGATATTGAAGTAGAGTGGAATTTGGGATATAATGGGTCTTTTAGGCTTTACGTTGTTTAATTTCTGACTTTTTTATTACAAAAGTATATAAAATGTCATTTTTTGTTATTAAATTGAGGTCCATTAGAAATTTTTAAAATATGGCAATGAATTAAGTCAAAAATTGAATTCAGAAGTCATGGGAGTTACTGGACTATGGCCGCTTCTAGATTCTACTGGAAAACCGGTCGATTTATCTAAACTGGAAGGCAAACGACTTGTGGTTGGTGGGTAATATTATATTGTTTTCAAACAACTACCTCTTTTGAAAAATGAGCTAAAATCAATTTTTTTAGCTTATGGAAGACTTAAATATGTATAATGTTTTAGTGATGATGCTAAATTTTAGATATATCCTTATGGCTATGTCAAGCGGAATCCGGTTATGCAGCGCATGGTTTAAATTCGAAGTCACCTCATTTGAGTCTTTTACTTCATCGAATCTCTAAATTACTGTATTACAAAGTCAGACCTATCTTTGTGTTTGATGGAAGTGATGTTCCTTCTTTTAAACGACAGTTATTGGTATGTTACTATGTTTTACGTTGAAAAAAGGATTTTCATTTTTTATTGGAAGTGAGGCTAGCTAATAATTTTGTTATTTTTAGCGAGACCGTGCCTTAAAACGTCATTTGGACGAAATTCAATTGAACAAACGTCAAAAGCAGTTATTGATAAAACTGGCACAGTCCAATTTGGACAAAAGTCAATCGCCAGAGAAGAAAAACTGGTCGAAACGGAGGTCGTGTCAAAATTCACAAAATCCAACAATTCATCGGATCTTTTCGAGCTTCCCGAAGCTTCGACCAGTCGACAAGACGAGAAACCAGAATCAGATGTTGAGGACGATCTTCCAGGCGATTACATGGCAGGATACGAGAAGTTGGTTACTGAAGACGAGAGAATCTCATTCTTGCTTGAGGCAAAGGAGAGAGCAAGGACTGATAGGCTTCGGGCGGACCAGATTCCAACGGATTTCGACGAATTTTCGAAATTTCAGTTAGAACGATTGGTGAACAGAAATGCTATCACTGTGGAATTGGATAAGGTAAGGCATTTTGAAAAGATAAAATTTTTTTTTCGCTTGAAAAGCTTAATTTATAACAAAAAAATTTTAAAAATATAAAATTTGCAGATAAAATCAGAAAAAGCTAAAGAATTCACTCGGATTGTGGCACAAGGTAATGAAACAGTCGTAGTAGGGCCGTATTACGAAGCCCACGTACTCAGAAAAGGGGAATCAGATGATAAAACCAATATCAAAGCGGATTCAGACGCCAAGAAACAGAATTGGGACAAGTTTTTGAACAAAATGAAAAATGAGTACGATGAAGAAGAGGACGATTGTGGCACGGGAGGCTTTAATTACATGAAGTTGCTGAAGAGATTTGCTAAACGGGAGGAAGAGTTTGATGGTGATGAAGAAGAGGATGTGGAATATAAAGAAGAGAATGAAATGGATGTGAATGAAGGTGAAGGAGGTGAAAATGATGATGCAGGTGATAAGAAATCAAAGGAAAAAGGTGAGGAATCTCAAAATGAAATCTATCTTACTTCTATCGTTACCCTTACCTCTTATTTTCTATTTATAATTGTATTACTTTATCTATACCTTTACTTAGGTTAATATTTTTAGTAAAAACACCGTTAGAAGAAATGGAAGCAGAAACTGTAACGGTATTCACGCCGGAAAACTCAATGGACGTTGACGATGTTTCCGAATCCACATCAGATTCAGACACGGATTTCATTGATGTAATTGATCTACCAGAACCAAAAAAGGCACCAGTAGCTAGTACCAGTTTTGGAGGTCTTTTAAGCCGAGTTAACGAAGCTAATCCTACTAAAAATTCAGTCGAAAAAAGGAAAGTTACTCAGAAATTTGATGGGACAAGGAAAATTGGGGGTCTTGAGGATGGTTTTGGTAAGCGAGAAGGTGGTACAACTTCTGGTGGTGCTAAGAAAGATGGTGCTAAGAATCATTGTACAGATGATAGAAAAGGTTCTGCAAGTCGCAAACAGAAAACCTCTGATGGCGACATTATTCTTGATGAAGATAACAAAGAACATCGTGCAATGACTCCAGAATTTGAATCCAGAGATGTTTTGAAGAGAAAATTGGACGATGATGATGATTGGGCACCAGAAGATGTACTTAACAGCGAACTGGGCATGGAGCGGCCGAAATTAGTCGATTTGGTTGATTCTGAAGGACGAATCGATAGTGGGGTTTATAAGGATTGTCAGGTAGGTATTTTATTTTATTTTACATTGCAAATTAGAACTTTTTAAATTTTTTGTGCGACACCAAGATTCATTTCGAATTTATTGAAATTTTTTGAAAATTCGGTTTTAAAAAAGCATTTTCAGCTTCTACTCACTTACCTTGGCCTCCCCTACATCGTAGCCCCATCAGAAGCCGAAGCTCAATGTGTATGTCTGGAGAGGTTGGGCTTATGCGATGGAATTGTAACGGAAGATTCTGATGTGTGGTTATTTGGCGGTGAGACGGTTTTTAAAAACATGTTTGGAAGAAAAGATGCTATGGAGTACAGTGCTAGCAAGATCTTTGATGAGTACGGTAAGGCAACAACAAATGTGTGAAAAAGTACAAAATTGGTGGGGAATTCGAAATTTCAATTTTTTTAAATTTGTTGTTTTAGTTTTATTGAAAACTTGTTATTTTAGGTATAAGCCGGGCCGAGTTCATAGCAATCGGAATGCTGGCTGGAGGTGATTATACCAAAGGCTTTGACGGAGTTGGTGCTGTGACAGCGTTGGAACTTTGTGCCGAATTTGATGCAAATTCGAAAAAAGACGACTTTTACGAACAGGTAATTATGGCATTTTGAAAAATTTTAATGAATTTTCAAAGTGGATTTTTTAACGCTTTTAGGTATGAAAGTGCCATTTTTTGATAAATCTAGCTGAGAGTTCATAATATATGAAGAATATTGGAGATATTGCTTGTATGAATATTCTGTAATTAAACTCAATTTAGGGGCTAGAACGATTGAAAAAGATTGGCCAATGGTTGAAAGCAAAGAGACAATTTGAATTCGAACATCCAGGAGAGCTCTTTAAAGAAAAAACAACTAAAATACGACTGAGGAGGGTCATCGAGAACAATAATGACGCTGAAAAGTTGAACGAGGTATTGTAGTTGTTCTTCATAGAGAACCGCCTCTTTTAAAATATTGTACTAATTTCTAAACCTAGATTTAAGACTGCCTACCTCTCCCTATTCATTTAGATCGTAGCGAAGCTTCACAATGTCACTAGGACTATACATAACACTTTCTAATTTTAGTTCCCAAGCGTACCAGTCTACGAAGCCTACGTCCGTCCCAATGTAGACTCGAATCCATCGCCGTTCAAATGGACTCCAATCGATTTCGACTCTCTTCATACATTAATTTGGACAAAGCTGGGATGGTCAGAGTCGGAAGTCAAGAAACGTACTCATTCAGCGTTGGAAATGTGGCAAACCTTTGTGTCACAACGAATCCAACATTATCAGCTTCGAATGGATTCGTTTTTGAGAAAACCGAATCAAAATCTGTTCAATGATCGCCCCATGGCCAACACGGCTAGAGTTCAAAAGGCATTGGATCGGTTGAGAGGGAAGAAACGCAGGAGTAAAGGTAAGAACAGGGTTACTGTGCTTGTTTAGAAACTAAAATACAGTAATTTTGACAATTTTTAAGTTTAATAAGGGTTATCAAAAACAGTTGTTATGATATTACATTAAAAAACTGTCCGAAAAACAAAGTTTCTAAAGTAATAACATAAAAACGTTTTTGAAAAGTACAGTACGATGGGTAGTAGAGTGGAAATGAAAATAGATAAATACGACGTAAACGTAGAGGCACGGTCAAAACCCATAAGTCTACCTATCTTAAATCATATAAAGGTGGAGATATGAGCTTTTACTGCACCCGCGGTACGATAGGATTGTAGCACACATAATAATTTTGTAGGAAAATATTGTTGTAGATTCAATAAGTTAACATATAGTAGAGAATGTAGAATTAGAATCACTACTATAGCTATGTAGAATACTATAGAAAGCTTTGGAATACTGTAGAAAGCTTTGGAATACTGTAGAAAGCTTTGGAATACTGTAGAAAGCTTTGGAATACTGTAGAAAGCTTTAGGATAGTGTAGTAGAGAAAAATATTTTAGTAGGATAGCTTCAATCTATTTTCATCGTCACTTGAGAAGAAACCCGGTGATTAGTTAAAAACACAATCACTGGGCCCCCCTCAAGTAAAGATAAGAATAGAAATTGAAGCAGTTGATATAGAATATAACATAGCGAATATAGTACACAGGTAGAAATAGTAAACACAAAATACAGTAATCCATTATAGTAAAATGTGCAATAAAGGGCTAGTACAATAACCAATCTGTTACCTGAAAAAAATGTCAGGGAATTTGCTCAAAAGTACAATTCCTTGCATTGTCTCAGTAACTGAGTTAGGTTAATATAGAAGTAGTCATAAAGTACAATGTAAAACTCATAAATTTAAAACAAAATATGTAAAAATGGCCGTGAAAAGGTAACAAATTTTAAAAATTATCCGAAAAAGGTTGGAAAAACGGCCAAGAATTACTTTGACAAGCGGCACAACAGTTAAAAGCTTTCTGGACAAAACAAAAACAGTCAAGAAATTTCTATAAAAAAGATAAAAAAACCATCAGGAAAACCCTAGAATAAGATGAAAAGCTTTCAAAATGTCGAAAGTAAAGCCAGAAGACGAAGGAATGAGGATCGAGTCCTAAATCCTCGCCTTTTATACCCCAAATTTGATGATTTTCATGGCCAACGGCTTGTTTTGATGACGATTTTGCGCCAAAAAAGGGGTTTTTGGCCGGAAAAATCACCGAAGGGTCCAAAGTTCATAGTTCAGTGATTGAAATGAACTTTGGACTGAACGTGGCGGGAAAATTGGGATTTGAAAATAAAATTTGAAAAAAAAATTAATTTTTGGGGAGCTGAAATTTAGGTAATAAACTTTGAAATTTTTATAGAGGTTAAAAATTTTTAAATTTTGGTAGCAAAATTTATTTTTGGTATCAAAATTTTAGGTAACAAACTATTTAATATACGACTTTAAAATAGCAAATAATTTAAAGTTGAAAAGGAATTTTAGGTAACAAATTTTAAAAAAAAGCGTTTGTTTCAGATTCCAGTGATTCCGACGATCCAAACCGTCTTCAGACGCTAATAAACCGAGCAAAGAAGTCGGCTTCTAATAAGAAACAACCTCATTTTACAGCTACAGTGTTTGAAAACATGAAATCTTTGGAGAAACCAGAAGTTGCCGATGATTTTTACGATGATTCAGTTCTAGAAGGATTTGTTTTTCCTACAGTGGATGCTTCTACATCACAAATGACTTCTGAATATGGTACGACGTCAAAGGTTTCTTCTGGTACAGCTACAAGTTCTAAATCTTTAGCTTCTAAGACTGCCAAAGGTGGTAAAGCTTCTTTGTTACCTAAAAATGTGGCTACAAAGGGACGGCCAAAGAGAGCGGCCAAGAAGGTTGTGCCTAAAGTAATGCCGACATATCAGGGACCAAATTTGAGTGAAGACAGTGATAGTGACTAATATTTTCTGTAATATTACTATTTTTGTTGATTGTACTATAATAGTATGTACGGGTGCTAACTTTAACTAAATATTCTCTGTAAGATATATTTTTATTTGGAGGTAAGGACATTTTAAGTTTGTACAATTTTGAATACTTTGGTATTAAAATCGTTTAGAGAATAAATTATGCTATTTTACAAAGTATTTGTACTAGTACTTGGAATGTTTAGTACTAAAAGTTCAACTAGTAGTATGTATTAGGTCCCGACATGAAGAACCTGCCATACTTTGCCTGTAATTTCCTGTAAAGAATGGCGGGTTCTTTATGTCGGCATCGAATAATATTATAGTATGCATAGTACTATAATATCAGTACTTTTTTGTTTTTTGGTACTGAAAATGACTTTTTTGAACTCATAATCTCAAGCCAAAGAGCAGGCCATTTTTACATTTTTAACTAAACCCGACCGGTCGGTATGAAAAAGGAGTCAGTGTCGGTTGACGACGAACTGAAGGTGAGCGTCGATGATGAGAAGAAAGAATCAAATGATGCCGCTAAAAAGCCGAGTGATGAAGAGGATGTTAAAGTTGGTAGGCTGTTTATGTTTTCGGGAAAAAATTTTTAAATGGGGGTGGATTTTCAAAAACTTTTTGTTTTTTTACAGTGTATGATAAATGTTACATCTTTTTATAATAAATGCTACAGTAATGTTATTAATTTTACAGTAGGAGTAAGTTGTTCAGTTGAAAACGGAGTCTTTTCTTGCACGACAGATGCTGATAAGGGATTCAACGTGACTAATCGTCTTCGTGATGTATTCAAGTTCGAAATGGATAAAGAGCTCTTTCAAGTCATTGATCTTACTGTAGATGTGGAAAAGGTAAGCTATATGTTGGCTTTTGGTATAGGAAGTGGGAAAATGGCAAAAACTTCTAAAAATGGCAAAAACTTTATTTACAGAAAAATTGCAAAAACTTTCTTTCCAAAAACAAAAATGACAAAAACTTTGTTTACAATGTAATAATTTAAGTTACAACTTCGTCTGACCGGTAAAGGACTAGTGTTAACTACTGAACCTCCAAATGGCATCAAATTCGCAGATCTTATAGTGCAGATGGAGCAAGAAGCTGTGGATAGTCGAAGCGAGTTTACTCGAATGCTCAAAACGTACATGAAACAACAAAAGAAACAGGTATAGTACTGTATTTTTATTATAGTAAAGCAGGTACTTTTTAGTATAGTATAGCACGTCACAGTACAAGTACTATGCAGTTTCAGTGCTATACAGTATGTTACAAGTACTACTCAGTACTAGTGCTATACATTGCAAGTACTGTAACATAATATTATATTTCAGTATTTGAAAATATAGTATAGTACTATATAGTATAACAGTACTGTACAATATAGTATGACATACTTATTATTTCAGGTCAAGATGCGTGTAGTCCGACTGGTATTCCAATTACCGGTCGATCCGAAACGCATGCCTATGGGCTACGATTCTCCACGAGGATTCACGTACCTGACTGGAGTAATGTATCGTTTCCCCGTGCTGAAAATGTCATTGTCTATCAAGTCGTACATGAGCAAGATCTTTGTTTGCGAAGCACCTGAGGGCACAGCGGCTGGGTTAAGTCTACAACAAGGTGATGCTGTACTGGATGTAAATGAAGTTCTGGTGGCTACGGTGGGCGAAACGAAAAAGAAAATTATGGACAGTATATACAATAAGGGTTACGGTAGGTTTTTATAATGAAGTTGTAGGGTAGGATACGGTAGGATTGATAACATTAGGTTAAGGTAGGGTTGGAAATGGAAGATGGAAGTGTATGGTAGGGTAAGGTAGGGTAGGGTTATGTCACGGTGGTGTAAGTAAAATACGGCTCCCACGTTTCATTTTCAATTATCATATTTGTCATACTGTATTTTCAGTCACTATGCTAATAGAACGGCCGAACGACGACGCAGCATTTCAATTTTGTCGTATGGTCTTGAATTTTAAGAAAACACCCCCGAAGGACCTGGGCTTGGCCAAAGATGTTAGAGATATTTGCCGAAAACAACGAAAACTTTTGAAAATTTCTGATCCCCAACCGGAAAGATCGATCCTAAAAGAACATAGTGGAGTTTGTATCGAGCCGAGAAGAGTCAAAATTGCCAATGAGGCTACGGAGATTCCAATTTCTGCCCAGGGCAATCCAAAGCTATTGGTAAGGTCAAAAAATTTAGGGAAAATTTTAAAATAATGATTTTTTGTGAAAAGGTCCTTAAAATCAGAAATTGAAAAAGTTTTTTTAGTATTGTGTTCTAGTGCTATTTTTAGGTATCAGTATCAAGATATTTTAGCAAAAAGTTTTTAGTACTATTTTCAAAAACTACTTTTAGACATCAGTACCGAAATTAAAAAAAAATTTTGATTTATGACCAATTTATTAGGTTGTTCACATAATTCTGCGCCCCCTTACCCCGCAAATTTGCTTTGGGAGGGGGCGCAGAATTAAGTGACCAACCTAATATTATTATCTAAAGCAACAGCACTAAAAGTTAAGCAAAAATTTGTAGTATTATTCTCAAGTACCACTTTCAGGCATCAGTACCACCGAATGCGACCGAATCTTTGTTGTCCAAACTCAAAGTTTCTTCACCAGATCGATCGGGGGAAAGAGTCCAAAAGACGGATAATTCGAGTGATTCTCAAGTACCAAACAGTCCCAGTAATACCAGTCAACAAGACATGAAACGAAGTCGAAGTTTTCGTTCTATCGGAAGAAATCGTTAAAAATTTGCATATTATAGTTAATAAAACAATTTTCGGTGGTGCTGTTTTTGGAGTTGTTAGTACTAGTATTATTCTGCTCTACTTTTTTTTATTTTTTTAGTTATTTTTTCATTTTGTACCTTTTAAACTTTAGTATCATTTAGTACCATACTGCAACTAAATTAACTAAAAAAGAAAAAAACCCCTTTAAAAAATCCGCAAATGTCCAAAATCCGCAAGTTTCCAAAAACCGAAGATCAATAAGTGTCTAACAACCGCAGATCCGCAAATGCCCAAAAACCATCCGTTTGGTATCGGGAAGAGGGTGTGTCCTGGCGAAGCCTTGGCCAGAATGGAACTGTACCTAGTACTGGGTAGTATTATCCAAGATCTAGAACTTCGCGTGGATTTAAGACCGGGAAAACCGTCGCTAGAACGATGCCCTGGAATGACGTCGGTTCCGAAGCCTACTTCTTACATGATCGTTCAAAGACACGAAAAGTTACTGTGTGAAGAGTTGGGTCTGAGTTTTTTGAATCTAAGATAGCAACCATATACCTAGATCTACACGACCTGTCGTTAGCCGATTCCTTAATAATTTGCTTAAGTTGGCCCTGCTTAGCAGCGTCATCACGCAATAAAGAAACCATAATTATTCCAGCTTCTACTGCCAAAACTCTAACCGAATTTTGATCATCCTTAGACTACTCTTCGAAAATTGGGAACAACTCAATCATCATGCTTTCTTCTTCGACAACCTAGGCAAATTCACCCAATTTAGACGCGGCACGGCGAATAGGCGTATCATCACGACACAATTGACGGTACACTCTAAAATCATATAATTGAAAACACAACTACAGCTAATCTAAAAAGTTTAAACTTTCCAAGTTACTCGTAAAAATCAAAAGCCTTGCAAAATAAAACAATCAACTTACCCTCTGAGCTCCAATTTCATTTGAGGACTATAAGCAACGCTGAAAAGAACACAAGCCCCAGTTCTTGAAGTAAACCAATCCCCTTGAGCCAAAATCAAGATCATATGAATAAAATAATCTTCCAACGCGGCTAGAGAATGTTTGTCAGCAATATTCCTTAAGCTTTCCACAGCTTTATCCCTAACGACCGTCTCCTCAATGTTAGCCAAATTCTCCAATGGAAGCAGAAGGCAATGAACGTATTGTGGGCCTCCAACCAATGGAGTAAAATTTCCCACCGCTCTACGCCCCTTCCCAAGCCGGACCATGAATTCTGTTTAAAGCCCTAAAACATTAAAAGGTAAAGAATTGACAACTTACTCGATAATCCGACCAAACAATCACCTCCAGCAACCACTGAGAAGTGGTGTCTCAATGGCACAAAATCCTGTGACTCGTGGGCAATACAAAGTAGAACTTCTGATGATATCAAACGCGAAACAGCACCTCCGACACAGTATTTGTTCTTGTACTCTCGAACAAATCAGGCAGTTTTCCATTCACTTTAGTTCAAATAATTCAGTGCCCCCCTCGTTACTGCGAGGTAACTCTAGAAATTACGCCCAATGCGAGGAAAACCCTTTTGTATATAAAGGTGACGCTCGCGGGTTTGCGAAGTGCCACAATTGAACGGGCGAAATGTCACAAATCACAATGAATTAAATGAAAAGTTTTTTGCGTTCGTTTGTGCCCTAATTTGTGCGGGTTGCGGGATCGTTTTCTCCGAAAGGTAATAAATACAATATGTTTGTATTTTTTAATATCCTTTTTTCCTGCTATAAAGCAATACGACGATCAATATAATTGATCGAGCTGAGTAAAAACATATTTGGAGAGCGGGATCGTTTTCTTCGAAAGGTAATAAATAATGTATCTATTTAAATAAAAGTTGAATTTGCAGTTTAAATATGTTTGTAAAGTCTAAATTAAGATAGTAAAGTATTAAGTATGTTTTTAATAAGGCTCTTGTAATATTGTCGGCCTATTTTAAGGTATTGAGCTTAGATTTAGGCTTATATGACTTTTAAAGCTAGGCCTGTTTTAAACGCATATAGTTTTTCAATCTTAAGCTTACTTTAGGATTTAGGTTCATACGATGATTTAAGCTTAATATTACTTTAGGCTTATATGGTTTTTAGGCTTAATGACAGATCGCGGAGATCTAGGTATATGGTTGCTGAGAGAATCGTTGAGGTACGTTTTAAACCGTTACTTTAAAAATATTGTGAGAAGTATATTTTTATGTCAAAGTGACTTTTTAAAATGTTATACTATTTTTTTTGTTTTCAGATTCAAGAAGCTTTCAAAGACAAGATTACCATTGAGGAGATGGTCGAAATTTACAACAGCTTATTGAAGGATGCCGAAGGTGAAGCTCGTGATGTTGCTGCCTCTAAACTTCAAGCTTTTTGCTCCGCTCTTCCAGAAGCTGGCCGAAAAGAAGCCATATCATCGGCAAGGTTTTGGATCAACCGTAAGTTTTGTTTCTTAGATATCAAATAGTGACTTTTGAAACAAAAATTATTATTTTTCTTTCACATTTCAAATATTTCAAGTTTGTCGATTTTTTTCAATTTTTGAATGTTCCCTTGAACCGACCAGTCGTTTTCAATTCGAAGCAGTCAACTTGTGAGCGAAATGGTGTTCAAGAAAGAGGCGGCGGACAAAACGCAAATGTCCAAAGAGTTTACGAAAGCAGCCCTTGCTTACACTAGCTATAACAAGTTTGCCGACGAATTGGCTCGAAAGTTGTTGAGCATTGTGGAACAGAAGGATCCGAGCTTATTGAAGAATAGGGAAAATGTAAGTTTTCTTTAACCCTATAGGGGCTCTATCCCTACTCCTACCCTCAATTTTCATTTCAGAGCCCAACCTACCCATACCCATCAAAGGAGCACCCCCTGGAGAAGGTGGGCGCCTCATTGTCCATCTTCCGCTCCTACGTCACCGAGGAACCCTACCACAACAACCTACTTGTAGCCGAAACCCAATGTAATAAACTGGCCGCGATTCATCGTCAGGCCCAGGCGAAGGCCCAGGAATTCTTGACCGAACTCATCGGTTTCAAAAATAAAGAGTTCAGGCGTTACACTGAAGAAATTAATAATTTGGAACGGTAGGGCTGATTTTAAAATTTTTAGCCGTTTTTAAAATTTATGAAGTAGGCTTCTGATACTACTGATTTTTTCAAAGTGCTTTAGGTAAAGAAGTTTAGGCTTAGGAAAAATAACTTTAAGATTGTTTAGGCTTATTAAAACAAATTATAAAGAAGTTTAGGCTTAGCATCTGATTTAAGAATAGCTAAGGAACAAAAGTGTACACATCTTAGGCGTAAGTAACGCATTTAAAAAAGAATCTTAGGCTTATAAAAATGAAATTAAGGGTAGTTTAATTCCGTTTTTCTAACCTAAAACATTTTTTTCAGGCTGAGAGACGACATGGACAAGATCAAGAACGAACTCATGCAATGTCATACCACGGTGGATGTAGAAAAGAACGCGGATCTCTACCGAAATGCAGTAACCGACTTCGAAGCTCAAGCGGCAAAAGTCTTCAGCCTGATGGACGAGCTGCCGACGATCAAGAAAAGACATTGGGCCGAAATCAACAAATACTTTGAGTTCTTGGAGAAGTTCTGTCATGACATGGCTTTCGAAGGCAATCCGATGAAGTAGAATCGGCTAATATATTGAGTTATTTAATTAATGTTGAATAAACCTGTATTTACATTGTAATAGACATTAAATGGCTATATTTAGTTACCTTGTAGTAGGTATCGAATTACCTAGCTTTTATTGTAAATAGTAGTTATTAAGTTAACTGGTTTTTCATTTTTACTTTTGTTAGATTATGTAATAGCTAATATTAACTGACTTTATTTATATTGTAGTAGATATCAACTTTGAAAAATTGAAAAACCAGAAAAATTAAATTTTTTTTTCAAAATTTATGCAAATTTAGTGCTTTCAAAATTGATTTCAAAAGTTTTCTTTTAGAAGTCCATTTGTACCTTCATTCCATTTCCATGTCAGTGTTCCGGACGGTGGTCGACTTTCTAATGGTGCTGTTGTCAAGCTCTCATGCTGCTCTTTAAATTCACCGTCAAGTGCTATATGGTAAGACTACTGGAGTTTGATTGTATGGTTATTTTAAACCCTCCCTTTTATCACTCCTCCAGCGACGACCCTTACTGATTATGGCAAATTTAGTCTTTTGCCATTATTTATCTGACTTGTTTCAGAAATTTGTGGACAATTCTTATGATGGTACGGAAGTGTTCTGAACAGTACCATAACGTTCACGCTAAATAGTACCATTAACAAGTGCTACTACCGTTGGATATTACTCATAGAAGCTGAGTTTAAGGCTGTTGGATCTGTCTCATAGAACCGGAGATCCATGCTAGCGACTACTGCGGATAATGCTGTCTAGTACCAAGGACGTGGTCGACGAGTACGATCAACTATTACGCTGCCATCATCTACAAACTAATCGGTATTATAGAAGAGTACCGTTATTTTTCTCATTTCTAAATAGTACCATTAACTAAAAGCACAACTACAACCTTCAATGGGATTAGTACTGCTCACTAGCACCAACGCCACTACTATCAAGCTCAGTAGTTCTGATGATATCGGTTTTCACCACCTAAACCACTACCACAACGATCAAGATGAATGGTACAACGACTTTTCTCCTGCTAACAAGCACCATTAAGAAGTCGTTCATGTTAACGAGTAACGTTAAGAAGCTGCACACGACCACCTTCAAGTTCTATAATACTATCGAAGAGCATTACGCTCAACTACTACCAGCCTGGGCAAGTAATAGGATCTTCAGTACAATAACCGAGTACTACTGACTACACGTATGCTGGAGCCTGAGCGATAACTCATGCTAACGGGTACCATTAATTTTATTTTCTAGTTGTGTTTCGTATTAAGTAAAGTTTTAAATGTTGTTGTTTGACTTGTAATCGGTCTTTTACTTACAGTGTCCTTAATATTATGTAGTCATTTTACGGCTTTACGATTCCATAAATTTTCAAAACTTGCAACGACTATTATTAATAGTTTACTAAATCATCTGTACGTATATGAATCCGAGAAATGTTTTCAAGTTGTATATTACATTATTTTAAATGATCAAGTGCATATATCTCTGTAAGATCTAATCGTTGAGGAGGGCTTCTTCGTCAATCTCCGGACGTTCTTCCGGCTGCTCTTCGTCGCTCTTTTCGGCGTCCGAGTCGTTGAGAAGTCGGTGGACGGCATCTTCGTCCAGTTCCTTCTTTTCCGGCTCTTCCTCGGTTTCGGGTTGTGTTTTCGTTTCGGGTTTCTTATGTTTCTCGGCCAATTCGGTCATTTCCTTATGCAGATCCTCAATTTCGGCCTTTGTTGATTTCATTAGAGTCTCGACTTGAGTGGCGAGCTTTAGAAGCTCCGCCTTGATCTTGGGTTCTTGCTCGGCGACTAACTTTTGGTACACTTTCTTGACTTCACCCACATATTTGTCGTAGACGTTGGTTTTGAGGCGTATAAGCTAAAAAAGATGGTTTATTGGTTTTATTTCAATCAATCGAAATTTGTTACAATACCTTTAACTCAAAAAGTAAAGGTTAAAATCAAACATTCTTACTTCTTGCAACTTGGCCTGTTGTTCTCTTTCCTTTCGCCTTTCCATCAGTTTTTCCTGAGCCTTTTCCCTCGCCGCTTTGGCCGCTTCCAGCTGGGATACCTGGTTTGAGTATGAGCCTTGAGTATTGAATGGTATCACTGGTTTTACTTCCTGTGCCTGAAAATAAAATTATCATCGACTTATCATTTAGGTCTAAAATATCATCCAAATATAAAAATTAATCAAAAAATATTCAAAATTTTCCAAAAACCTACAGACTCATCCTTGACTGCAGTTTCTGGTGCAGGTGGAGCAGGTTTATGCCATGTGACTTGGATGAATCTGTTGTCCATGACCGCCTTTTCCGATTTTATGGCCGCTTGGGCATCCGGAAGCTTGGCGAACGTGACAAGAGCCGTGTCCGGCTCTCCGTTCCAACTAATTTGGATATTAGTAATAGTACCAAACTCGGCGAAATGATCATTTATTGGTCCCAACTTGTTCAGATCGATTGGTATCTTTCGCAACTAAAAATAATACATAATAACATCTAAAAAGGCAAAAAATCACATAAAATATCCAAAAAATAGATAAAACCTCTCACCTCCAATGTTGTGCTCTTGTTGACTGGCATTCTCTCCTGACTGTACGGGTTGAAACGTTTCCGTCCTCTTCCACCAACAAAGCCGCCACGACGTTGAGGCCCTCCGCCCATTCCACCTCTCATATATGCTAATCGCTGTTGTTGAGCCACCGCCGACATCGGATTCTCAAAGGGCGACGGAATCGGAGCGCCGAGATTGGGCATCGACAATGGTGGTGGTGGTACAGAGAAGTCACCGTACATTTTCGGAGCGATTTGAGGATGTTCGGGGTTGTACTCGGTGGTGGCGGCGCTGGATGCATCGCTGTTCCTGAACTCGGGCTGATACTCTTCGATGGATCCGTCGTCCAGAACGATTGGGTCCGGTCCATGATCAAAGGCACACGTATCACCACGGCGACATAGACCTTGTTCTGCAAATCAGTTTTTCATTCCACGAAGACGTTAGCTTGAGACAAAGATCCGTCTACTTAACATATAAACATAAGCCTTAAAAAGTGATGACAGAAACTTTTAGACCGTATGCTAGCACTGGAAGGTAAAGACGGTATGGAAGACGCCGCAAGGGGAGTTACAACAATGCATAGAAGTTAACAATAACAACATAACAGTAATCTTTCATTTATGCGCATTTTTCGCTTATCCTATATTTTCTATATTATTTTAGTCAAACTGAATCTTTTCTGTTCATCTCAGGCTACTTTGGTCTTCATGACTATTTTCTATATTAATCTTGTCATAGTGACTCTTTTCTATATTAATCGTGTCATAACGACTATTTTTCTGGGCTCTTCTTTCTTTTTCTAGTATTTTTCATTGGCCCTCGCGCATTTAAACATTTTTCAAAATAAAAAAAAGCATTTGAAAAGTCTCAAGTTAAAGCACAATATTGTATGTCCAAAATCCAACCTTCAAAGTCGCGACAACGACGGCGGATACGTTGTGAAGGTTGTTGTCCGTTGCGATTCTCTTTCGGTGCACGATCGGAACGACGATTGCGATCATCACGATGGTCGCTACGACTAAAAATAGAAAAGTTATGTGAAAATAAGTAAAATATTATAAAATCATAACTATAATATCACCTTTCACCTAACATTGTCAACACTTGTGTAGAAAATGAGAACAAATGAAATGAAGTCCACGCATCAACAAAAAATTTGCATAAAACTTCAAAAAAATGTATGAAATCATCAAAAAATTTGCATGAAACAACAAATTTCAATTGCAAAAATAAAGCTTACCGATGCGGTGATCTTGACCTGCTCCTAGATCTCCTATGCCTATCTGTACGTCTTCTTCGCGAATCTGGAGATCTAGAACGTCTTCGTCGGTTTCTTTCTTCTTTATCATCTCGTGGTGGTGATATCCTCCTCCGAGATGGCTTATCCTTCTTCTCCTCCTTCTCAACATCTCTATTCTCTGAATTCTCTTCGACTTTACCAATGTAAGACTTCTTATCAATTGTTTCAAACAAAGAATCCACGAATTCATCAGTAGCTGAAAAGATATCAGTTGTTTTAGACACATAGAAAAGCTAAACCTCGAACTTTTTAAACATTGTAAATGGTGTTAAAAAAGTAGCTAAAAATAACGTTCTGCAGCTGCAGAAGACCTCTGCTTTCAAAGTTTCTAAAAATCGGAAAACAAAATGTAACATCACTTACAATTTCCCAAAAACACATTGAGCTTGTCAGAACATATTTTACGCAAATTCTCAGTATTAGCATCCTTCTTCAGTAACGTAAACACGTACTTGGCAAACGCTGTAGGTTCCGCATCGCTTCTGAAACAGTAAGTTACTTATCTAAACTTTACCGCTATTTAGGCAATTCAGTATTGATGATTAACTTACAAAGTCTCAATTCTCTTCTGAATCCATTCATTCAACAGATCGTCCTTTTCGATTATCATTTTTTAAGTGAACAACAAAAAACAGGTAACAAACAACTGAAAAATCGATAACTATCACAAAGTATGAAAAAAAGTTAAAACAGAATAATGTAACAGAACTATCACATGATAAGTCACGCCAACAAACTTTATGATCAAGTTGTAATAACGGCGAAACGAACGCCACATCGAGAAGGAGAAAATAAGATATCAACTGGGCAGAATGCCAAAGTCTCGTATTCGTGTCGGAACGCAGCGCGTGTAGCTATGAAATCCAGACTCTTCTGGTTTTACGAAACATTTTCGAAATACGTCTTTGTCTCATTTTATTATTTCGAAATATAGGTTTGGTAATTATAGTTTTGTATTAACGTTAAACCTACAAACATAAAAATTTAGGCAACACAAAAGATTTAACTAAAAATGTTGCCGAGTGCCTAGAAAATAAATTTTAAAAATATTTTTAGATCATTTTTTTGATATTAAATGCTCACTTTTTTAAGAATATTTTAGTCTCCCATGTTTTGCCAAAAAAATAAGCACCGGATGTTATTAATGAGCTAAAAAATAATAAAAAACCTGGAACCTCCCCAAAACCAACGTAAAACGCGAAAAAAGTGAACAAGAAGTGGGAATGAGTCCCTTCAGTTAGCTGTTTTCCTTGTTAATGTGGACGCACAGGCTGCGTCCCGTGTGTATATGACATGTCTTCACGGGCGATAGACGAGTAGTGTTAAAGTACACAATAATATTATTATGGCGGGTCTATAATTAGGGGAAAAGTTGTGTTAGGAGATTTAACTGCGACGAAGTTTTAAAATTAGGTAACAAAAGTGAAAAAGCTAAGTAATATTGAAGTTTAGGTAACAAACTTGAATAAAGTTTATAAAAACGAACGAAATTTATGGAAGCTGACTAAAAAAGCTAAAAATATTGAAGTTTAGGTAACAAAATTAAATAAAATTAGAAAAAACTATCGATAAAATATGTAAAATACGAATAATTAAATTATATACGGTTTTAATGATATCTAACTGATATTAAAGTACCCTTTATTAAAAATTAAAGTCGCGGATTCATCAATTTTGGTTTATCTCGTCGAAATGGCGATAAAACAAGGATTTGGTGAATCTGCCACGGAGTTAGTTGAACCGGTTATTACGTTATTAGTTAACTACTCTTCATTTTAAACTTGTTGGGTGTTAGAGTAGAAATGCTATTCTGATCCACCTACTACAATATAATCAAACACCCCCTATTTAATATAATATAATCGAAACCTACTATAATATAACTAAAATCTAATCAAAAACCTACTACAGTATAACTAAAATATAATAAAACACCTACTATAATATAACTAAAATATAATCAAAAACCTATTAAAATATAACTAAAATATAATGAAACACCTACTATAATATAACCAAAATTAATGTCATTTCCCCTAAAATACACCAAAATAAAGTTCGAATCGCTTTATTTCTCTTTGCATGTACAAAAACAACAATAATATTAAGAGAATACCGGAAAGAATTTTTGGTTTTGTTGCTTTAAAACGACCAAATTAAAGCTATATCAATGAGAGAATGGTAATGTTGGTATATGTGGTGGGGCAGGGGTAAAATGAAAGACGTGTTGTCATTGCTTTGATACCGGATTTACAACAACATGGAATATTACAACAATATACTGTAATTGCAAAACATACGACGTTATATATAGGGCGGATCATTTGAAAAATTAAAAAGATCCATCCTAAGGTAGCTAATACAAAAAAAATTTAAGAAAAGAATGTAACAACATACGACTATAACATTATATAAAGCACTTAAATAAGTTTGGAGTTGGACCCGTTTGAGAGGTTACGGTAACTAAATTGCTTCTGATTTCACCCTATGAAGACTACGGTAACAACGAGAGGAGGTGTTACTACAAGATATGATATTTAGACATAGTGGTCATGGTACCAAAAGGGTACTATTTGAGAGTTGGGTACTATTTTGAATGTTACTGTCTGGTATAATTGTTAAAGTTAGTATTATATGATAATTTTTGGTACTGATTGTACTATAAAATGGTACCATTAGTCCTATAAAGTCATTTTTGGTACAAGTACCATAAGTTGTACTGTTATCCACAGTACCAGTAATAGTATATTGTACCAGACAGTACCAACTTTCAAAATAATATAAAATAGAAACAAGTTACAACAATAAATACAGTAGGAATATGTACAATACAGTTATGAAATCATCTAACATGACCTATAAATGTACAATAATATCGTCAAAGCTCATTAAACCATAATAAAAGACCGTTGTATACGAGAACATGACAGTAATGTAGGTGGATAGGTCAATTCTTTCATTTTTTACGAAAGAATTAATGGATCCACCAAACAAGTAAAGTAAAAATATGAAGAATTAAGGTTTTTTGGGGTTTTTTAGGTATCAAGTAAACCTTTTTTGGGGTCGAATAAGCCTAAATTAGGCTTTAGGCTAGTATAACAGGATTTGGGCTAGTGTAACATAACCAGGATTTAAATTCTAAGCTTTTCAGGCTTAAAATTAGGCGTTCAGGCTAGTATAATATAGCTGAAAATTGAATTCTAAGCTTCTTAGGCTTAAAATTTAAATTTCATTCTTTTCCAACTTAGGCCCACCCGTCCAGCTAGGGCCAGTCAGCCTCAAAACCTCTGGACATCCTTGTCCTTCTGGCTCCAATCCCCAGCTTCACTGCCACTGGAATGACTCAGCGTCTCCTCTTCGGTCGAACAATCGTCGTTGCTGAAGAACATTCGCATCCTCAACGCGCTGGCAATGTTCTCCTCCTCGATGGCTTCGTCACTACCTTCTTCCGAGTCGTTACTCTCCATTCGAGTCAAATCCAATGGAGCCGGCTTGAATGGTCGGTCCAGGCTTCCGAATCTTGGTCGATTTTGTCCATATTGGCTGTCGAGGTCACTATAAGGTCGGTCGAGGTTACTGTAGGGCCGGTCGAGGTTACTGTAGGGGCGAGCTTGCCCATTTGGAACGTCTAGACTATTAGCTGGATTGGCAAAGGTTTCTAGTCCAAATCCGTTTTCTAGGCCAGAGAATCCGGCTTCTAAACTCTTCTCACCGTAACCCTTTTCTCCATTACCGTAACCGAACGGCCGATCCATGTCAGACCGCTCAGGTCCAGGCGTCAGATTAGTCTTCCGGGTTACGGTGGAAACCTTATGACGAACTCCAGATGACTTTTTGCGAATCGATGAAGCCCAACTCTGACGATCGGCCGAGCCCCAGATGGTGAAGAAGAAGCACGGTAGAATGGCGATGACAGATGACATCCAGAATACAATGTTCCATTCGGATGAGGAACAGTTGGTCGTAATATAAGATGATAGGATTTTGTTGAACACACTGAATATGGCTACAACGCCGAAGGCGATTCCGGTTACTATACCGGTGTAGGCTGGGGCAATTTGAAGAAGCGCCGTTTGGACTCCGGGGGTGTGGAGACCTACAATAATATTGCTTTTCGAGTTTTTTTGATAAAAGCAGTAAAAAAAAGGGGGGGGTTAAATCTTCAGCAGGGGGGGGAGGTAAGAAATTTTAATAGGGGTTGATTTATAGGTAATTCAGGCTTAGTTGTCTTAGAAATAATCCCACTTACCAGCAAAAGCATTCGCCAAGCACAATAGAATAATTGGTATAACAGCATCATTCACAAATGGTACCGCTCCTAAAGACAGTCCCAAGCCTAAAGATCCGACAAAGTTGAAGGCTTTTGTCATTTTCGTTCGACAGGCGTGTCTGGCTGAAAAATAAGGTTGTTTAAAGAACGTAAAGTATTTCATTATTAAAAAAATACTTTAGGCTTACAGAGTCGATTTTAGGCTTAAAAAGGCTTATTTTAGGCTTAAATTGCAAAAAAAATAAAAATTTTTAAAAATATAAACTTACATCGCTTATTGGAGCTCAGATAACTTGACAGTGAAGAACTAAAGGTTTTCGATATGAACAGTACACAGATTGGCAATGATGACACAAAACCATTGGTTACTGTATTAAACTTCAGCACGTCTGACAAGTACTTTGGTAGGAGCTAAAATACGAAAATTTATATTTTGACCCATCTTTTGATAGAGGTACTATCTATATATAATTAAAAAATATAAAAATTTAATCAAAAACTTCCTCTCACCTGTAAAATAATAACCAACGGCCACTCATGACACACCAACGCAGCTACACCAGCATACAATGGTACACATCGCACAATCTCGCCCCAAGGCGCCTTTTTTCGATGTTTTCTTTTCCCCAAATTCTCCTCCTTAATCTTCTGTTCAATATGATTACATTCCCGGTTTTTGATACAAAAATGTTTGGATGGTTTATCGGCACTGAGCAGGATCCATGCCAATGTTATTGCACTGCAGACGATTGCACTAAAGTAGAAGATAGCTGGCCATCCACCGAATAAAGTTCGTTGTTCACATAGAATACCAGCTACTGGGAGAACTAGGAGGGTACCTGAAGAATGTATTTGGTAATAACTTGGTTTTTAGTAAATTTATGGCACTTATTTTTGTAAATAAATTTGCTAAATAATGAGAAACGGGGCAAAGAAAAGTTAAAAATAGACTTTTCTTAGTTTTTTAATAGCAAAAAGTCTTTTATTTTTATATCTTTTTGTTTAAAAATATTTTTACAAAGTCATAAAATAACTTTCAAACATTTTAAAACCAAAAAAATAATCAAAAAACCCAAAAATTACACTAGGTCCCACCGAGATTCGAACTCGGGTCGCAGGATTCAGAGTCCTGAGTGCTAACCGCTACACCATAGAACCGCACGGCCTTTCTCTTTTTCTTTTTCGCTCTTTCCTTTACTTCCCTTCGTTTCTTCTTCAAAGTGGTCGCAAAAATTATTTTTTCAAAAATATTTTTTTAAAATCAAGCCTTTAAAAATTTTAAAACTTCTACATTTTAGTTTTTTATATTTTTTACTAATTTTACTAAATTACCATTAACTTTTAAAATAATATTTGCCGACATAAAGAACCCGCCATACTTTGCCTGTAACGTCCTGTAAAAAATAGGGGGTTCTTCATGTCAGCACCTAATATTATGTTTGCCTACCAATTTGACGTCCTCCAGTGATCAAACCAATGGCAAATGGTCGTTCTTTAGGTGGAAACCATCGGGTAATCATCGATGATGTACTAGGTTGTAGTAGAGCATCAGATAGACCAGTTAAAACTCGCGCAATTAAAGTTAATGGAAAACTGTAGAATGATAAAAAAGGTAACGAAGCATTGGATATTATGAGTAATGCCATTGATATTACTATTGTCCATTTGCCATTTAGACGATCTGCTTGTGTCCCTGTAACCAGCATGAACAGGGAACCGATATTTTGGGCTGCGAATATCATACCTAAAAATATAAAAGGTTATAAGCCTAAAACGTAAGCTGCTAAGCCTAAACATGATGTAATAAGCCTAAAATGCGTGCTTCTAAGCCCAAAAATGATGCAATAAGCCTAAAATGCGTGCTTCTAAGCCCAAAAATGATGCAATAAGCCTAAAATGCGTGCAGCTAACCCTAAACATAATGTAATAAGCCTAAAATATGTGGCGCTAAGCCTAACAATACGTAATAAGCATACAATGCATACTGCTAAGCCTAAAAATGATGCAATAAGCTTAAAATGCGTGCTGTTAAGCCGCTAAGTCTAACAATACGTAATAAGCCTAAAATATGTGCTGCTAAGCCTAAAGATTATATAATAAGCCTAAAATGTGTGCCTCTAAGCCTAAACATGATGTAATAAGCCTAAAATGTGTGCTGCTAAGCATAAACATGATTTAATAAGCCTAAAATATTACTTACCCTGATCCGTGCTGGTCCACTGCACCTTCTTCATGCTACAACTCTCCATACTCATAGTAGATGATCGTATTTCACTCTCATTCACATGTTGGCCATACTCCACCATCAAATCAATGGCTCTTTTCCTAAACTTGGCCAAGGCACATTTGCTCATATTACTCGTATCGTGACGATATTCAGTATCATTGATGGTCGATGCCATCAAATCGTTGAAGTCGGTCTCGTTTATCGACCGTTTTATTCGCTGAATCTCCACGTCGACCTTCTCCTTTGATTCGGTGATTTTGTTCGTCATACACACCATGGCTACACTGATGTTGGAGGTGGATACGGCCAAAGATACAAAACATAAACATAGTAAAATGGCCATGAAGAATCTGGTCGATGGGAAGATCTTGGATTTTGGCTTGGAAATGTCTGGCAAACTGACAGTTTTGGGCGCTAAAATTTTTAAAATTTTAAAAATAATGTCAAAAATTGTTTTGTAAAGAAAGTTCTTGCTATTTCTTGTTTTGTAAAGAAAGTTCTAGCTATTTCTTGTTTTGTAAAGAAAGTTGTTGCCATTTCTTGTTTTGTAAAGAAAGTTCTAGCTATTTCTTGTTTTGTAAAGAAAGTTGTTGCCATTTTAAGTTTTTAAATAAAGTTCTTGCTATTTTTCGTTCTGTAAAGAAAGTTCTTGCTACTTTTCGTTATGTAAATAAAGTTTTTGCCATTTTAGGTTTGTAACGAAAGTTTCTTTCATTTAAAAATTTTAAGGAAAGCTCATGCCCTTTCACCCCTAAAGCTCACTCCTCGGCGTGGGAATCTGTAAATTGCCATTCTTATCAAACTGAAACCCCTTCTGATCGTCGGTGAAATTAAGGTACGGTTTTGGCGACACACTCCTCTCGTTGGTCGGCGACACAATCGCCGACTTTAACCGTGTCATCACGTGGGAAACAGGGCTGAAACTCTGTGAGTTTTATAGTACGTAGTAGGAAAATTATAGTACTATATAGCACGAGTCATTGTGGTAGGTTAACACGAAAAAAACAAAATTTTCTCCCCCCCCCCCTCTAAATCGATAACGTTATAGTACATTGCATGAAGTTTATAGTACTATATAGCACGAGTCATTGTAGTATGTTAACACGAAAATGGTACAATGAAAAAAAAATTCCCCCCACTAAATCGAAATCACTCGCCCATGCAGTAAGAATGACCCCAAGATTCAGTAAGGCCCCATTTATACCACAGTATGACAATTACAGTCATAGCCAACCCATTGGACTATAAAACATGACTCCCCCAGCATATCCGCCCAATCATTTTTTGCAGCAAAAACTTTTTGCGACGGAACCGAGTCGGCTACAACAACAACCTGAAAGTGAAAGTGGAAAGTAAATAATAAATCGCTTCATCAGCGACATTCAGAATCCGACAAAAAAATCTTTAAAAAGCGACATCGACCTTGAGGAAACCAAATTGGTGATCCGATCGGTTTTTGTAGACAAAAGCGATATACGATTTTGCAGCGGGCTAAGCATGTTCATTATAAAGAGGTCATAAACGTTGGTTTTTCAAATTAAAAAAAGCCTTTTTTTTATTTTTTCAAATTTTTTTTTCCAAAAAATCTACCCCCCCCTCTGAAAAAATAAGTAGAAACAACTCTGTACTGCCCTATCTATCATAAGACCCCGGAAACATATATATAACAAAAAAGCAGCTTTTGAAACAAAACAGTAATATAAATTACCATAATATTATTGTTGACAAATTTACAACTCATACATTAACCAAAACGAACTTTAAAGCATATATTATATTGCACATGAATGATAAAGCTTTGTTTAAAACAATTATTTTATAATTCTAAACAAAGAGATTTAAAGTAAAGCTTAAAACAACGTGTTTTTACTCTGTAACTGCACGTTTTACTACCTTACCCTTCCCTAATATATAGTAAGAGTGCCGTACTCGCAGTAATTTGTTGGGTCGTTTTACATCGAGGCAAATGTTGCACAAAGCCATAAGTATTACATAATAAAAGTTGCGCAACAAAATTTCTTACAATTTCTCTAAGGCTATCTTAATACATCATTACATTAGGTAATACTGCAGCAGATTACTAAAAACAAGTCATTGCTGCTAATATTTTACTATCTTATCCTACCGTTTCTTATATTACCCTACCCTACCTTATCCTACCCTATCCTACCCCTCTTCCAAAGAAAAGCCTTGAGCCAACACTGATTGTAAGCTTATATTCACCTTATTCTTACAAAACGTATAACAACCTTATTATCACAATAAATACCACTTATTTTCTACCTACATAACTCATATGACTTGTGACAAAAACTAACATTATTACCTAAAAATATCAAAACATTGTCACAACTACGCCCCCACCGCAACAAAAAACTGTCTGGTACCACAAATTTTTAAAAATTTCAAATTGTTTCAAAAATCAGGCTCCTTATAAACATACGATGCGAAATACCGCACAAACACGGTTGACCCACGTCTCTATTACCGTGTTTATTGTTTGCTTCCCACGCGTAACGGTCACGCAAAGAATTTTAAGTGATTTTTTGTCCTCACTCTCGGTGTTTGTTAAGGCTGTAACAATAAAACGTACTGTAACTGTTACCAAATGAGGAGTTTTTTCGGTTTTTGAGGTTACAAGTTTTGTATTTTGACAAAAGTTGAATTTTACAAAGTGTCATAAGCCTTAAGTTATTTTTAGACTGAAAGCCATTATAAGCGTAAAAATAGTCATAGACCTAAAAGCATACATAAGCCTAAAAATAACAAGCCTTAAAGTTATCATAAGACAAAAATCTATCATTAACCGACAATAAAGATAAGCCTAAAAGCAATTTTAAACCCAAAAACTGCTAAAAGCCTGAAATTATCGAAAAATTATCATTATAAGCACTGTCTAAATTAATTGAGCCATGATAGAGCTTTGTAAACCAAAAGTAATCATAAGCCTAATAATGACTACAAACATCTAAATCATCATGAATCTGAAAATTATTATAAGTCTAAAAATATCTTAACCATAGAACCATCATAAACCATATATTGAAAAACTTAAAAATATGTTAAGCCTAAATATCATAATGAGCCTAACATTGTCGCCAAGCTAAAAGACTGAATAAATCTAAAATTATACCAAACCATAAACCTTCCATAAGCCTAAATTCAGTGTCAAGGTAAAATTATAATTTTTATAAGCCCAAAAATTGAATATAATAAGATAATAAGCCTAAAAACTGACGGAAGCCTAAACCTATCATAAGCCTAAAAAATAGCCCAAAACCAAATCAAAAACAAGCCTAACGCCTCAAAGCCCGAGTTAAACAAACATCGCCAACTACAACAAGCCCGAGGTTGAATGTCCATCAAAACATTTAAAAAAAAAATTTTTTTTCGATGAGCTCGCGGATCTCCCATGAACTTCGGAGTGTTAAGACGCAAAAAAAGCCCCCTGAGGAGATAACAAGCCGAAGGAGAGGGTAAAATGTGTCACAATAATGGTGGAACCGCGCGGAGAGCTAAGCAGTAATTAATCGGTTTAACCCCCCGCTCCATCACGCAATCAAAATATTAGTGTTTCCCGTGAATCCAGACATCTGGCTTCACGTTGGGCTTAAAGGGGGGGGGGAAGGAGTAAGGTCAAAAAAGTTTTTTTGGCCAGCAGGTACCTGCTAACCGTGGACCAATTTAAATTTTTTGTAGCTTTTTTATATACCCCCCCTCCTCATTTCTCATCTGCCCCTGAGGCAAGGGCGTCGCTAGAGATCCACCCCAGACCCGACCCAAAAAAAATTCCACAGACAGGCAAGTACCCGTACGCAAAAAACCAAAAAAAATTCGACCCCTCCCCCAACCCTCCCAAAGAAAATCCGTAGCGACGCCTCTGTCCTGACTCGTGAGGATAACTCGTTACCCACGGTTTTTTAGAAATCAAACTTAAAAAAAACAAATTCTACCAACTTTTTGACCAATTCAACAAAATTTCCTCAACTTTGACCTTTCGCCATATTTATATCCTGCAACATGGCCTGTAAATGTTTTATTGTGATGCACTCGAACCGACAGTTTATGTATACTACTTTTGTTGTTGTAATAGGGAAGTTTCGACTCGAAAAGAATAACAATTTACTGTCGGGAAACGGAAGTGTCTGCCAATTGTATCATTTAGTAATAATTAAAGCAAAACACTATGGAGACAATCAAAAGATCTTTAATTATTTGACAAAATTATTAAAAAATTAAACTTATTACCTAAAATTCCAAAAATCATTATTCCCAATAATTAAAAAATTAAATTTAATACCTAAACTTTCAAATATCTTCATTTCTAATGCAAAATTTAAAAACAAACTCAACTTTATTACCCAAAATTTTAAAAATTCTTTTTTGCAACATTACAAGTTACTTTGTAAAGTTATCTTAACATCTTAAAGTATAAATTTACTTTAACATCGTAAAATAAATTTTAGAACCTTAGAAAATGTATTTTACTGCTTGTCTTACAAAAGTGAAACAATTTTATGGTTTTTTTACAAGCAGCAACTACTTCAGCAAATAAAATTTACTTTAGTAATACTATAGTTGTTACAAAGTTACTTAATTTAAAAAAATCCCACCCCCCCCTTCCAAAATTATTTTTCTAAAGAACACCACAGGCACTAACTACAAACAAAAAAATTTCGTTCCACAATCCCAAAGAAAAAAAATGGGTAAAGGCCTCCTAAATGAAGCCTTATATACGAAACTCAAGGTACAGTACCAAAACTTCACCTACGCGTATCTTACACGTTTTTCAACGCTAAAACCACCCATTTTGATAACTTCATTTCGTCAACATGATGACAAATGCAGCACCTTTTCACTTCTTCAATTTTGATTCAAAACCTTATTTGCATACGAAGTTGACGTCAATTTGTGGTAAATTGCTGAAATAAACAAATTTTATTAATGTTTTGAAGATGAAACTACAAAGTAAAAGCTGAGAATAACACGACATACAAATGATAAGAAAACTTTTCAAATTTGTAAAATACAAAAGATAATTTTAAAAAAATTTTAATTTTTCAAAGCTTTAAACAGTCATTCTAAAATATTTTATAAATTTATACAGTACCAGTTAGTGATAAAAGCATATAATATTAGGTGCCGACATAAAGAACCCGCCATTTTTTACACGAAATTATAGGAAAAGTATGGCGGGTTCTTTATGTCAGCGCCTAATATCATAACTTTCAAAATAACTTTTTCAATTGAATACAAGCTATACAAGCCTAAAAAATTAAGTAAAAGTTCCACTGAGTGACAAAAAATTAAAAATTCTCTAAGCGAATTCGAACTTTTCTAGTTTTTAGAACTTTCAAATTACAAAATTTTTTTTTATTTTTACCACCTCCGCATCAAAATCCCCCACCCACCCCCACCCATACCGTAACACAATTTTCCCACTCCACCTCCTATATATACACATACCGTAAAAACAGTAGCAATCAATTACCGGTCGATGATGCAATGTTTATCAGCGGCTCCCTCTTATAGTAACTGATAAGCGAATGTGTTTTTTATTGATATCAGTTCTTTTTGTTTTGTTTCAGAGAAGGGAGACAAAGACCTGAGGGCGCTTTTTTCTAAAGTTCAACAAAGACAATTTTACTGACTCAGTGATAGATAATAAATTGGTTGAGGGTTCAGGAGCCGCTGATAACGGGCTTATCACCGTTCATCGACTTTGAAACGTATTATAACAATAACAAGTTGTAAAATTAGTGGTTTGATGTATAAAAGTGAATTTTGGCAAAGTTTCAAAAAATTTAATTCGCCAAAATTTAAAAAAAACTTAAATTATCTACCCCCGCAAAAATTAAAAAAGATCAACCCATGAACCAAAAGAAATTGATTGAAACTTAT